GGGGGGGGGGAGCGGGGAGGGGGCGGGGCGGTAAGAGGAGCGCTGGGAGAGGAGAGGTTGGCTTGGTTAGAGGGATAGGATGGAAAGGGCAGGAGCGGGGAGAGTACAGGAGACAGCTGGGAGAGGCCGGGCCAGGCAGGATGGCGTGGTAAGGCAGGCCCTGGGTACACTGCCTCTTGCCAGCGTTGCCCTCCTGCCTATCTCTTAGCAGATCCCTGGGAGAGATACTATGGACCGCCCTTTTGTGCCTGGCTGGCTCGGGCCGCGCACGCCCTCGCAGGTACCCAGTAGGTTGAACTGAGCATGAAGGGGTTCCCTGAGTGGCCCTGGCTGCAGAGTGATGGGGGCGAATGACCTTAGGGAAACAGAATCTAGCCAGCTAGACACTTTCCTGGCTCAGAGAAACAATGACTGCCATCATCCTGGACCCCTCAGACGCAGTGGAGCCAGCTTAGGAGTCCCAGAATTAAATGGGTAGCTAAATTAGGTAATAATTAATATACCATCAGAAATCAGCACAAAAAATAAAGACAACAAAATCATAGCTAGAGGTATAAGATGGGGAGACAATGGCCAGGCTTGCATGCCTCCCTAAGGGATAAACAACAACTTGAGATTATACTATAGTTAATACCACCTGTCCAACAAGTCCAGCTAGGCATCAGATGCCCAGGTGAGTGACTAGAGTATCTGGACCCATCCCTGCCCAAAAAATACTTTGCTCCTTCAATATACCCTTGCTACATGACTTGTTTAACGCTACTAGAACAGCATTAGCTAAGCAGCTATACTTAAATGCCACTCCCTTATATGTGATATCACACAAAGCCAGCAAGTTGCCAAAAAGCTATATAACAAGACTACTTGTTTACATGTTCACTGCCTATGTGCAGGCCAAATAACATATGCTGACTGTTATAAAGAATCCACTTGTCAAAAATAAGCTTTTGAAAGGAAAGTTTATTCCAGTGAACAGGAACTAAAATCAAGAGATTTCAGCAGCTAGCTGGGAAAAGCCGAGTTTATCGCATCTGTGTGTGGATGGGCTGACACTGGGAGAGAGATAGTAGCAGCTAGCTGGGAGAGATTTCATAGATGAGTGGATGGCTAACATCAGGAGAGAGAGATATTAGCTACTAACTGGAAAGGAATTAGGCTTTTATAGGTTTTGGGGAAGGGGCTGTAATCATAAGGAATTTTTATGACTTGGATGCCCAAGGACCATCTGCTCAGGTGTGTAGACAATTACTGGACTTCTCGGTGCCAGGGGGGTTGTATACTTCATTTTGAGTCCATTTGTCCTGTCCTATTTACTGAGAATCTGCTGTTTGCTTTGTCCCATTTGTGAAGGACTCACTTAAGTCAGGCCTGACACTGACTCCCTAGGGAGCAGAAGGCCTGAATAAAATTGGCCATTTTGGGTACCTTGACCACAAACTCCACCCAACTCAGGAGTTTTTGCCTCACAGTCTACCCATGAGACTTCCATGTGGTTGCCTTGGTGAGAAATGTGGAGCATTGTACTCGTTCTACAGCAACAATATATGCAATAGCAATAAGCCACTAATAAGCATCCCCCTCCCCTTTTAGGGGCTTGCCCCTGGCTCTATCCCCTCCAAGGGTGAGAAATCTTGGGCCTCTGGTGAAACACACATCACCAGTTCCAGAACCTCTTGCAGTTCTGCCCACAGGGGCTGGCAGACAAAATATTGGGCTGCTGCAGGTATGTCCACCACTTTGCCAATGTGGGAATCTGGGCAGTACTACTCCTGGGCTTAGCGGTCTAATCTTGGACCCATCCTGCTATCAGGTAGGAGATCCTGATGACCACAAGAGCTGTCTTAGTAGTGCTTTCAGTTGCTCTCAGAGCCACATAAGCCACAGCCAGCTGTTTGTCTACCAGTGAGTATCATTCCCTTTCTACAGATTGCAAACAGAACTCTATTAGTTGTGCCAACCATTCTGACTTCTGCCACAATGCCCACCCCAAACCATCCATGGACACATACACCTTATATTCCGGCTCACACGGCTGGCCCACTATGGAACTCTCCAGGTGCACCAAGTGTGGGGAAGTTAGAGCTCTCATGCACTGCTGTCAGTAGCATGAAATGATGTAGTCACATACACCCCACCCCCATGGCTTTTTTTTGGAGGGGGGCTGCTAGGGATCAAACCTAGGGCCTTGCATATGCCAAGCTAGCTCTGTACTACTACTGACCTATATCTCCAGTCACACATGCAGCCACTTTGGAAAACAGTCTGGCATTTCTTCAAAAGGTTAAAAGACAAACCTACTTGCAAGTATATGCCCAAGAAAATGAAAACATCCCACCACACAGACATTGGTATATGTAAGCTCATAGTAGTATTAATAGCCAAAACATGGAAACAAACTAAATGTCCACCAACTTCTGCACATCCTATTGGTTTACTACAGTCTATTATAGCCAGCTCACTAGGTGTGAAATGGTTTTGATTTCCAACTAATGTCGCTGAGCACCTTTTCACATGCCTCTCAGTCATTTATCTATCTCTGTTCAATCCATTACTTGCTTTTTATTACTGACTTGTAAAAGTTCTTATATATTCTAGACATGAGACCTGTATCAGATACAATACAACATTTTTTCTCACTCTTTCACTATCTTTATGGTGTCCTTTGAAACACAATAAGAGTTTTCAAGTTTGGTGATGTTCAGTTTATCTCTGTCTCCTTTTTGTGACTTGTGATTTCCTTACTGAGGACAGTAGCTATCAGATCTCAATATCCGTGCTAGGTTGTTAGAAAGAACTCTTTAACGCTGGAGCCATTTCATTTTGGGTCTGTCACAACAGTCTAATATACACTACTCCAGAGGTCCTTTTAGTGAAAATTTGTTGGTGAACTGTTTCTTTTTGTATGTAAATTGTTTACTTCAGTCTTGAAATAGTTTGCTGATTGTTCAATTCTGGTTTTAATTGAGTTCTTTTCTTGGAATTATGAGTCTTGTTTTCATTTGTAGATGATGTTTTTTCCCTTCACCCTAGCATTTGCAGGATCTAGGCAAGAATACAAAAGTAAGCTGACAATACTTGTGTATTTAAAAGTCATAACTCCCCAGCTATTCCCCTTCTTGGTACCTTCCTGAAGAATTAAAAGCATCATACCACAGCGATGTATGCGCACCCATGTTTATAGCGGCACAGCTTGTAATAGCCAAATCTTGGAAACAGCACAAATGCCCATCAGTGAATGAATGGATAAAGAGGATGTGGCCAGGTGTGATGGCAAATGCCTGTAATCCCAGCACTCCGGAGGTTGAGGTAGGAGGCTTTCTGTGAGTTCGAGGCCAGCCTGAACTACATATTGAGACCCTGTCTCAAAAAAAAAAAAAAGTGGTTTTTTTATACAATGTACTACTCTGCCATAAAGGATAAGCTTGAGACATTTCTAGCTAAATGGATACACCTTGAGACCATACTCTCAAGTGAGATAAATCAGACACATATGTTTAAATACCACATTGCTCCTCTGGTGTGAGAAACCAAAAGTGGAAATAAGGACAAAATCTATAATAGATATTGGGAAAGGGGAAGAAAATGTTCAAATGAAAAGGGGAACAAGGGAGAGAGGAGGGGAAGGAAAGAAGGGACAAGAAAAAAAGAGAAGGAAAAAGTGGAAACAAAGCTTTTGTACATAAGGAAGGGAAACGGGGGTCGAAGGGAGGGGAGGGAAATGAGGGAAAAAAAATAAGTAAGATATATCACGTACAAGGTCCAGATTCCTTATGATGAGTGTTATCATTATGTATATCTAAAATGTACCAATAAATGTTTTGCTTTAAAAAAAATAGAAGTTGCAACTCAAAATAGTTTATGGAAAACACAACTATTCTTTTTGTTTGCTTGTTTTGGTACCGGGGATCGAACTCGGGCCCTTGTGCTTTCGAAGCAGGCGGCGACGGAACCACTGAGCTAAATCCCCGGCCCAACACAACTATTCTTAATCTGGTGTTCAGATGCCATCTAGCTCCCATGTAAAGACTTAGTCTCGCGCTCGGTTCATGCTGTGTATGTGCGCTGCAGAGCAGCGACACGAGTACTTTCAAGCAGCAGGGCCTTGCCTTCACCTGGTGCAACCATGGTGCCCCTAGCCAGCGCCACAGGACAGCGGTAGGGTGAGGGGAGTCCGCATAGCCTCGCTCTGGAAGGCCAGATCCAATGGTGCAATTCTGTCCGACCCCAGAGCCCACACCTGCCATCCTTGGCTCAGTGTACGGGGCGGTGCAGTTGGGATGGGCAGTGCGTCCACCTCACCCAAGCTACGCTTGCTCGGCCTCTCCGACAGTGGGCCGGCCCCGCCCCGCCACGCCACGCCACGCCACGCCCCATCCGCTTCCGGCCTGGTCTAGTGACAGGGATCTGTGCGGTGCAGCGCCACAAGTAAAGCTAGTGGTCTCTGGCACTATGGCTGCCCTACGTGCCATGCTGCCCCGCGTCAGGGGCCCGCTCCGGCCTCTGTCCCGCTGCCCCGCCCTGCGTCTGTTTTCGTCGGGTGAGTGTGGGCCCGCGCACACCATTACCACCCCATCTGCCCTGTCTGACCCGCAACCCCACCTCCCCCTGACCCCAGGTCCTGGTCTTGCACCTCCTACTTGATCCTAGAGACCCTCAGCCCCCGACCGCTGACCCTCTAACCTCACTCCCACACACCCCTGTTCCTTCTAGCCCCAGCCCACCCCAGCCCCCTCCCGACCCTGGCGCCTGAAGAGGGCTCTGCTCAAGAGAGCACCCCGGCTGGTCACTGGCTGCTTCTCAGCTCTGGTACCTGGCAGGGCCAGGACCTCGGACCATCCGGACACTTGTTTGTTGGTTGTGAAATTCCACCAGTGTTTAGGTGGCTTTAAGAAGGCATGCAGTCCTCCACGCGCAAGTCACCCTGGGAATTGGAAAGTCAGGCACCAGTTGTCTGCATTGCCTCCTATCCAGTCTTTTTTTCTTTTTCTTTTTTTTTTCTGTCCAGTCTTACCCTCGGTCCACTGCTTCTCCCTAAGCCTGTCCTTCAGACTATCCAATCAGAAGTTCCTGGGCTTATACCCGCCTTCCTTCGGCTGCCAACTGGATTCCCCTCCCTTCTTCCCTCTTCTCTTGGTCACCTCCAGCTGGGCTCCCTCGTGCTATCATCCACTGGAGTATTTCAAGGAATTCTTGGTCATACCCCAGGGCTGGGGCTCCTGTATATCTAGTTAACTACCTGTTCACATTGGCCTCACCCTCTGTTTTTGACTGTCCACTTCTGCACCCCACTTGGAATTGGCAGTCATTTCCTGGCTCCTGTAGATGACAGACATGCTGCTGTGCAACACTTCACATGTGATATTTCAATTACTCACCTGCAAGCCCATGAAACAGACAGAATGGCTGTGCTACTGCAAAGGGAACTAATCACCCAACACACACTCACTTTGTCATGCTCACCTTCTTCCACTGGAGACTGCTCCTCCCAAGTCTGAGCTGATGACCCCTCTGGGTCATGGTGGTCACCCCACAACAAAGTGGTCCTTTCTCTTTGTCTCCCTCTCGCCATGCTGTCCACCCAGCATAGGCAAGAACTCTGTCTTACTCCTCACAGGCATTTTTTCCAAGAAGGCCTTTCTCTTGTCCTTAGTGCTGGGTTCTGAGAATAGCTGACCAAATCAGATGGGAAGGAGAGTGGCTGTGTTCTGGGTTGGGTTTTTTTTTTTTTTGGTACCAGGGATCGAACTTGGGAACTCGCGCTTGCGAGGCAGGCGCCAGAACCACTGAGCTAAATTCCCGGCCCTAGGTTGGGGGTTTTAACTTAAGGAAGCATTCGTGCAGCTGTCAAAGAGAGTGGTTGTGAAGGGAGTTGTAGGCAAAAGGCATGAGGACTGGGCAGGGTGCCTTGGAGGACCTCACAGGGTCTCTGTGTTTGTGCTTTTGACAGCTACCTGATGGAGATCCCCTTTTGCCCTCTCCCCTTAGGTACTAACTTTGAATACATTGTCACAGAAAAAAAGGGGAAGAATAGCAATGTGGGGCTGATCCGGTTGAACCGTCCAAATGCACTCAATGCACTCTGCAATGGCCTGATCGTAGAGCTCAACCAGGCACTGGAGTCCTTTGAAGCAGACCCAGCTGTGGGTGCTATCGTGCTTACCGGCGGGGATAAGGCATTTGCAGGTGTGCTGGGCAGCAGTGGTGGCAGGTATGGGAGGGATATCATTGCCTGTGGGAAGCAGCAAGACAGACTGGCCCCTCCATGATGGCATGTGATTTAGGATTTAATCAGATGTAAAGTGTTGAACATTCACATTTGCTATGTTAGCAGATCGAGCATGTTCAAAGGGAATCCAATCCTTACTGGTCAAGTTAAGTGGCTGATGAATGAGCTGGGCCTTCTCTGGCATCTGTCACCTGCCCCTCAGCCCTCTGCATTATCTTGTCTTAACAGGTATTGCAGTGTGTCACTGGCCTTGTGTCAGGACTTGCTCCTGGTCCCATGGTCCCCAAGTTAGCTGCCTATGTATTTGGGGATATGGGGTCTTATGCTGTCTGGTAACTGGAGCCTCATTTCCATTCCTAGCTGGAGCTGATATCAAGGAAATGCAGAATCAGACACTGCAAGAATGTTACTCTCAAAAGTTCCTAGGTCACTGGGACCAGCTGACGCAGGTCAAGAAGCCAGTCATCGCTGCTGTCAATGGTTATGCTGTGAGTGTCAACATCAGGGGTCCCCATCTCAGAGTTGGGGCACAAAGGATGTTAGAAGGAATTGGGCTTTTGTGAATAAAGTGTACCGAGATCTTTATCTTAGAAAGGTATCAAGTATGATTCTCAGGCCAGTGGCCCCTTTTCTGCCAAGTAAGGAGAAAGAATCTTTTTATATCTGCTTTGTTTGGTGTTCATCTGCTAGTTCTTCCCAAATGGGTTGATGGATTTTTCTATATTGATTTAATGCTCCCTGACTACTCTGCAAGCATAGCACATCCTCTGCTGGGTACTTCAGTGTCCTTACGTAATTGGACTGTTCGGAAATGCCAGGACTGGTTTGGCCTGTGGAGAAGTTACGAAGTTGTTCCACCTGGTGTTTTTTGGTTTGTTTGGGGGTTTTTTGGTTTTGTGTTGTTGCTGTTATCATTGTTTTGTGATACTGAGGATTGAACCTAGGGCTTTCTCTCTGAGCTGCATCTCCAGCCCTTTTTGTTTTTTAAGACAGGGTCTTACTAAGTTGCTCGGGCTGGGCTCAGCCTCCCAAAGTGCTAGGGTTATAGGCATGTGCTACCATATGTGGCCCAAATGGTGATTATTTAAAGAAGTCCTTTGCATGTGACCCAGGGGTCAGCCACACCCATTCATGTCCATGTGCCCCATGGCTGCTATTGAGCCACCATGGAAGAGCTTCATATTGCTGCGGAGCCAAGATCGTTTATTGTCTGGCTCCTTGCAAAAAGTCTGATGCCCCTGGTGAACAGTACCAACCATATATAAGTAATTTATCCCAGCAGTTAACTAAGTTTGTGCTGCTAGATTAATTTTTGCCATACCCCAGCTGATTTATTTTACTGGGAAAGTTCAATAAGCTGATAGCAATTTTTCTGATTAGGCTCCTCTAGTAAAACTTGTCCTCTGCTCAACATTTTACAGCTTGGTGGGGGCTGTGAGCTTGCCATGATGTGTGACATCATCTACGCTGGTGAGAAAGCTCAATTTGGACAACCAGAAATCCTGCTGGGGACCATTCCAGGTGAGAACATGGCACCTATAGTGTGCACTCTGCAGTTAATTCCTCATGACCACCCCATCCCTAGGACCAACAGCTTGTATTTGACCAGAGGTCCCAGAAGTATGTCCTTGTGTCTGGCCATGGTTCCCTGTGCATATGGGTACATGGGATAGTGGACAAGACAGGGCTCAGAGCAAGTACCTGGGGGTCTCAGACCATGTTCAACTACTGTGATTACAGCTGGATCCTATGTCTAATGTCACACATTGATAACATTAGTTTACAACCACAGTGGTTCTTTCGTGCTGGTGACTTGTACCTGTACCAGGTCCCTGTAGGTCAGCAATTAGGGAGAAAGAACAGTGACCTTGGACTGGCTCCAAGAGAGCTCTGCCTCACATCACTTTAGCCCCATCCAGTCCCACACCACTAGGAGTTAGGACCTCCTGGGAAGGAAGCCTGAGATACTGCAGAAAGAACAATGCCAACAACCTGCTGGATCCTCCTAGTAAACCTGGAAGAAGAGGGATCCCCCAGGGGGAGGAGACCATACTTGGAGGTCCTCTACTGCTATCTAAGTTTTTATTTGTTTGTCTGCTTGCTTGTTTGTTTTGCATTACTAGGGATTGAACCCAGGGCCTCTGCACCCCTCTTTTATTTTGAGACAGCATCTCATTAAGTCACTAACTTGCAGTCCTCCTGCCTCACCCTCCCAGAGTGAGGGTAGCTGATGTTGGGGATCCAGTGCGTGGAGTCAGAGAGACCTGAAAGTTTCTGGAATGGTCACAGAAGAGCCTGAGGAGGGCCTACAGCCACTGTGTAATGCTGTTGTGAGATCAAGGAGGCCTGAGCTTGGAAAGGGGCCTGCCCCTGAGGTTTCTAGTTTCTTCTGCTTGTCCTACCTTTGTGGTGGCATCAGTTCTGCCTGCCCAACACTAGGCCCTTATCTTAGGCCTCTTCTTCAGGCCTTATGATCTTGCCTGCAGCACATCTATGGTTTCTTCCCTCTTTCTTTTCTTTTCTTTTTTTTTTGGTCCTTGTATGGAACCCAGGGCCTCAGGCACACTAAGAATGTACTCTGTCACTGAGCCACACCCAGGCCCTGTGGTGTCTTCTCTTTTTTCTCCTTCCTTCATTTCTTTTTTTTTTTTTTTTTTTTTTTGGTACCAGGGATCAAACTCAGGACCTTGGGCTTGCAAGGACATGATGGAACCGCTGAGCTAAATCCCCAGCCCCTTCCTTTATTTCTTGCTTTTCTTTCTGTCTGTCCCATCCTTCCTGTGTAGGGTTCCCCCCTCCCACTGTCTGTCTTCTGGGAATTGAACCACCCAGCCAGGGCCTTGTGCATGCTAGGCCAGCTATTCTACCACTGATCCCCAGGCCTCTGGTTTCTTCTTGGCATCACTTGCCACAGAACCAGCTGACAAGCAGCCCCTTCCTTACAGGTGCCGGGGGCACCCAGAGACTCACCCGAGCAGTTGGAAAGTCACTGGCAATGGAGATGGTCCTCACTGGTGACCGCATCTCAGCCCAGGAAGCCAAGCAAGCAGGTAAGGCCAGTCTTCCCTTGGGAGCTGGTTGGAGGCTCAGGCTGTATCAGATGTCTTGGGAATGATCAGTACCAGAGCTTTTGGGTCTTAAGGATCCAGGGAGTTGACTGCCTTTGGTTTTAAATTTTGAAATATTTCATATACAAGAGAGTGACAACATTGCTTAGGTTAAAGAGTAATAGTGCAATGTGCCATTTCCCATAGTCCAGCTTAGGCAATGGGTGTCTCCAGAGCCCTTGCAGCCTGACCCTTTCCCCGCCCTGTTGGGGACCATGGTCCCTATATCTTCCTGCCTACGCTAACTGATGTCATGGATAGCCTGGGCTTTGTGCCTGAGAGCACAGAGACTGTGACTGCTGAGGGCCCAGGGCAACAGCCCCCCACACTCCCACCCCCACCCCCAAGCTGCCTCTTGTTCAGCACTCAGAGCTCTTAGCTCCTGGGTGGTCACTAAGTCTCCACGATAAATGGAACTGGTGCTCTGTATCTCCATGATTTTCACCATCTTTTTCATGTTTTAGGTCTCGTAAGCAAGATTTTTCCTGTTGAAAAACTGGTTGAAGAAGCCATTCAGTGTGCAGAAAAAATTGCCAGCAATTCCAAAATTATAACAGCCATAGCCAAAGAATCTGTGAATGCAGGTAGGAGTCTGCCAGGAAAAGCAAGTGAGGAGGATTCCCAGGACTGCAGACAGAATTGGAGGCACCAAATGACTATACCTTAGCCTGTCCAAGACAGAAATGGTAGGATTCTCAGGATTGTGATTTACTGGTAGAGTTCTGGTTTCTAGCTGTTCACAATTTGGTTGAGATGTTCTGAGTATCCCTATACCAGGGGCCAAGAAGTGAGCCACAGGAAAACTGCCTAGGAGGTGACAGTGACACAGCACCAGGCAAGGCCAGAAGAGACCAAGGAGGAAGCCATTGTCCATAGTGTCAGGCTTGTCTCTGGCTCCTCGGACCTGGGTTGTAGAGTTCATATCCTCAGCCCATGCTATGGTTATGCAGATGTTCTACAGCCTGGGGACTAAGCCCACACAGGCTGACTGAGAGCCATCTACATGAGTGTGGGAGCATGCTCTATGTATTCCAGGCCCCACTCAGTGTTCTCTGAATTCTTGTAGTTTTCTTTTTTTTTTCGTTAAATTCTTTTATTGGCACATTTTACGTATACAGCACAATTACATTTCTCATTGGGAATTGTACCTTTACATAATGCATCTTGGTTCTTATTTTTTCCCATTTTTGTAGTTTTCTACCAGTGAAACTGGTCTGACCTACCTCCTCAGAACTGCTGAAGTCTTTATTTATTTATTTATTTAGAGACAGGATCTTACTCTGTAGTTCAGGCTATCCTGGAGCTCACTGTAGCCAAGGCTGGCCTCGAACTTGCAGCAAATCCTCCTGCCTCAGCCTCCTGAGTTCTGGGATTACAGGGATGTGACACCATGCCAGGCTGCTTGAGTCTTTTTTTTTTTTTTTTTGGTACCGGGGATTGAACTCAGGTCCTTTCGCTTGCAAGGCAGGCGGTGGAAACACTGAGCTAAATCCCCGGCCCGACTTGAGTCTTAATGTAGCAGTTTACCTCAGCATTTGAAATGAGATTGTCCTTCTGTTCAGTTCCTGGGGTAGAAGGGTGCAACCTATGAAGTGACACAGCCTCTCTGAGCCTGTCATCCCCACCAAGGAGGCTGCTGGCTCTCCGGGGTTGCTGTTGGCGCTAGTCAGAAACACTGATGTTGCGGGGGACCAGCTGTGTGGCCACAGGAAAGCTACCAAGGGTTTTAGCAAGGTCACAGTAGATCACATGGCCACTGCTTGTATCCACCCTGAGAGGCACCTTCCAGCTGTCAGGATAGCAGCATACTTGTGTCCTCCGCTGAAAAAAAAAAGGCATTTCCTGATGCCTGATCATTCTTTTTCTGATTTTCATCCTTAATTAGTTGTCTGTGCTTTTGATTTCATTGGCTACCTCAGATCCTTCTAATTGGACAAATTTTGCTATTTGCCTTTCACCTATTTCCTCAGTCCTCTCTCCGGGGACCTGGGCCACAGTTGGGAATTTGGGACCCTGGGAGAATAGTTTGTTCAAGTGACCACCTCAGCTGGGGCATGTACTTAACAAAAGAGGCTGACTGGGCCAGCATGAAGGCCTAAGCAGGGCTGGCCTGCCGGCACATCTGAATTAGATGTCTGTGTGGTTGACAAAGAGTGCCCCATCGCTGCAGAGGAGATAGTTTTATTCCCCCAGTCAGCATCTCAGTCCATGACTGCAGGGTTTCTTTTTCAGCCTTTGAGATGACATTAACAGAAGGAAATAAATTGGAGAAGAAACTCTTCTATTTAACCTTTGCCACCGTGAGTAAACAATATTCTGCTGAGAATCAAACATGTTCTAGTTAAGGAGTTACTGGGATTTTTCTTTATACTTTATCATTAAATGACATTTCTTTTGGTCTACACTTTTAGCTTCCCCTCTAGCTATATCAGACTTGTTCTACAGTGGGCCTTGCTCTTAGCAGAAAAGTACAATGTGGAAATAAAAAAGAATAAAAACTTCTTCCTATTGGAGGAATGGCCTGTGAACTACACCCTTAAGCAGCAGCTCCTAAAAGGATGCACTTGAGACCATAACATTAAATGAAAGAAATCAGACACACAAGTTTAAATATGTATGGTTTCTCTTATATGAGAAACCCAAAGTATGAATAAATACATAAATAAGCGAAATAAAGGATAGATAATAGGAAACAAGGTTATAGATCTTTTGCAAATGGGAAGAGGATCAAGACATGGAGGAGGAGGGAGGGGAGAAGGGATGTAAAAAATTAAGAAGTTTTATTTACATGTACCAACTCCCCACAATGAATGTAATTATTATGTACTGTAAACATGTACTAATAATAAAATTTTTTTTAAAAGCTCTTTTATGTAAAATGCAATTCAGAGCCAAGTACAGTGACATGCACCTGTAGTCCCAGCACTTAGGAGGCTGAGACAGGAGGATAGCTCGAGTCCAGGAATTCAAGACCAGCCTGGGCAACACAGCAAGATCCTATCTCAAAAAAAAAGAAAAAAAGAGAAAAAAATTGGAATTTATTTCAGCTGTATTGTCCCTAGATTATTCTACTTATTTAGAATGTGGCTTGAAAGTATTACAATAGTAAACTAACATTATATAGCAATATTTTTTAGGATTTCTGCCAGTAACACACTCATGACATGTCTTGCTGCTGAGTGGCTTGAACCACTGGTGGTATATGTATGATTGTTCCATACATTGCTGTGCCACTTCTACCACCAATGGTACAAGCCACCTGACGGGACAGTCACATATGTACCAGCAGTGATTCAAGCTGGCAGGAACATGTTAAATGAAATGGTTTTCGATTGCCATTATAAGTCACTTCTTTTATTGTCAAAGAATCATGTGTAGGCATTTTACAAAAGAAATTAAAATGCTTTTGACTCTTTAAGAAGCGAAGATTTGTGCACTTGGGTGTACACTTATGTGTACATAGACACAAGCAAAGGAAGAGGGCAGATGCAGCGTGGAGTTGTGATCCATGAGGGTGATGCCTGACTTAGACCATGCTAGATCCAATTGAAGAGGGTGGCATGGGAGTTTACTGATGTTCATGTGGGTGGTTTCTGAGTGACTGTCATCTGGGGAGAGGGTATAAAACCTTCCGTTCCCAGCTCCAACCCTGTTGGTCGGGAATTCTGTCCTTTCCAGGCTATACATGGCCTTGCTGTGGAATCACCTGCCCCATACCATGTGAGCAAGGAGAGCAGCCTGAGAGAGCAACCCCAAAGACCAGGCAAGTGGGGAAGTCACTGGGAAGATGCAAACTTCACGTCTGCTTTTCTCCCTTTTCCTTCCAGGATGACCGGAGAGAAGGAATGACTGCATTTGTGGAGAAGAGGAAGGCCAACTTCAAAGACCACTGAAAACCAGCTACGTGGGCCTTATACATCTTTAGAGAGGAAAAAGCAGCCATTGGTTTGGAAGCAAATTGTGTCCTCTTAAAGGGTAGTGTAGGTGAGATATGTTTTCTTGCTGATGGCCATGGGGCTGTGGCCATAGTTTGAGCTCTGCTGAACAACTGGCCTTCACTTGGCTGTCAAGAGAGTCAATCATGTATTCTGACCAGAACAGATTCTTTTAAATCAAAAGTTCTGCTGAGGAGCCTTCAGGGTATTTACTTTTTTACTTCACTTCAGGAACTGGGATACTAGTTTGCCAGGGGTTCCTTTGTGCACAGATTGAGTCCAGATGGAAGGTGGGTGCCTGCCCGGTCATGGTATTTGTAGGTGCTCAAGGAAAGATGTTCCTGTCTGTTGATTTGAACAAAATAATGCTGATTAAAGTAGCTACTTCGAGTTGGTTATACTTTGTTTTTAATCATCTTTAAAGGGTAAATACCCTATATATCGGTTAGTTTAATTTTTTTTTTCATTGTGATAACATTCAAATAAAGCTGAGGTCCATAAAGTAAGCTATACCGATGTCACATCCCCAGGTTAATTAACCTCTGTGAACAGCTGGGCATGCACCCTTTCAAGATTTTCTGTCCCCAAATGTGCATACATCCTTAGGTGTGATGCTTTGTTTCATACATGGGTGCTATGCACTCATGCACAGTTCTCCACCCACAAGTCTGCCCTCATTTTCATTCTCCTGGAATCCTTATTCTTCACAGCATCTAGTGGTGTTTGAAACACAGAGAAACTCAAGGTAGAAAGTGCCACATCAGAAACAAACACAATAGTTGTCATGCTCAGTGCGATTTACTATGTGAGATTTAGAGACACAATACAGACATGTACCAGAGCCACCTTAAGGTACATGTTCCCACCATGGTTACTTTGGTGGCTTCAGATTCCAGGAGGGCCAGCCATGTCCTTGGGTTGCTCTGCAGCATGAGGGACCTAGCAGTGCTCAGCTTGGTTCCCTTATGACTAGTTATAAGAAACTATCTCCACTTTATTCTCAGAACACCAAGTCCTCCATTTGAAACTGTTCTTCAGCAAGTGTTGGTGAGGAAGATGACACAAATTTGGATCTCCTGCATCCTATGGCCAGGGCATCTCACATGTGGAGGGGAGACGCTGCCTCAGGTCAGAGGCTCCTAAGTCTCAGGACAGCCTTAGACCCACTAAAGTGAGGCTGAGAGATCTGCATTTCAACAGGTGGGCACCAATGCTGTTCAGGTTTTGTGGTCTAGGACTGCTGCAAGCCCCCAACCTACACCCTATCAGTGGGCACCCACCTATCAGGGGACTTAGCTTTGTCAGCTGCAAACCAGGCCAGGATTCTGCATGAGGGAAAAGGTTGAGTTCTGCCTAGGAATCCAGGGTAAGATGTGCTCACACAATAACTGAGCACTCAGGATTAAACACACAGCCAATACACAGTCCAGACCACAGGGACCACAATGTGCTTACCACATTGCACAGCTCAGCCAAATAAAATGATGCTTGGCCTGTCCCAGGATCTGGGCTTCAGAGCCCTCCTGTGGTGGAGCCCACTCACCCCAGCTCAGACCACACCAGAATGCCATTTACAGGTGTCTCTTCCACCTAGCTGTACAGCTTGGCATAGGCAGTTAATTCAGATTGTGGTCATGGCCTTGGGCTGGCATGGACCAGGAGTGTGAATCCTTGTCCTGGAGGACCTGAGGTGGACAAGGAAAGGACTAAAATGGACCAAGGATAAACTAAGAACTGAGCTGACCTTTGCAGGCTATGGCTGTGCACTTCTTAGACTCCAGTTTATGCTCATTTACACAGCAAAGTGGGCTCACATGCACTCTAGGGACCACTTTGTCTTGCAGGTGTGAGCCCTGTAATCCACCATGCCCTCCTGTCCACTACCAGGAACTGGTGGCAGGAAGGGGGAATAGTGAGGGGTTCTGTTAACTCACCTGTGGGAGGGCCAGCATAGTTCTCATGCAGTCAGGCCCCCTTCACACAGAAGGCAGGTAACCTTGGCAGATAAGCCTCTGGATCTTGGACTCTGGCACATTCTTATTTACAGAAGCAGGTACAAAGGGAACTTGATTTGGGCCCAACGGGGTGGAATGGCATGTCCCCAGCCAGGGAGCAGGGAAGGCTGGGCGTGGGAGCACAGATGTGGACATGCTCATTGCCAAATCTGAACACATGTAGAGGTTCATGCTGGGTGAGACCATTGACCCCAGAGTCTGGAATAAACAAGCAGATGCACCAAAGTTCTAAGTATCCAACAGAGAAAACCTTATCTTTAACTTGAGAAAAATCTATTCATGTAATTTGTTTCATGCACTGGCCATCTGGACCAGGATTTTGAGAAAGGCTTGGAAACTCTTGTTTTTTTATTTGGGGGTGGGGGGTACTGGGGATCAAACTCAGGACCTTGTGCTTTCAAGGCAGGTGGCAGAAGCACTGAGCTAAATCCCTGGCCCTGAGACTCACTTCCTTACTACTCAGGCCAGAAGCAAGAAAGGGCTCAACACTGCACCTGCTAAGTTCATCACACTTGTCTGCATTCCCCCATGCCCCTTCCTTTGGGTTGGGACCTTGTCTAGACAGGAGCTCACCCCCTGGGGTTCTCCGTGGCTGCAGGCTTTGGAGAGGTGGGGGAGGTCAGGCAGTGGCTGTAGAGACTGACCCAGGTAGGGGCAGCCCCAGACCTCAGTGAAGCTCCCACTGACTTTGAGCTAATCGACCTGTGGCCCATTAAAGTTGGGAGGTGGAGGCTGATTTGCTTTGGAAGCTGACACATTATCTTCTCAGTCTATAAACTGGCTTGCCCTTGTGTACTTATACTAAAACAATAAAACCTCAGGGCATGTGAACACTAACTTTTCCCACTCACAGCTGGAGCAGATACTGTTCTGATGCAACCCTCACCCTCCTGGGAGCCACACACCCAGCTCTGCCGTCTGGACTGTTCCAGTGCACCCCCTGGATGGAGCAAAGCACGCACGTGTTTTCTCGGGTGTCTGCTGTGGCTCTGTCGTCCTCCCCACACATATTGACTTCCAGAACTTTCCCAACAGTTGTCAGGACTTCTGACCTTTGTGCGTCACCGCAGGACGCAGAGTTCCTGCACCCACTTTGGCCACAGCCCGGCATCCAGCAGAGAATTACTGGCCCTTAGGCCCCGCCCTCCCACTTACCCCGCTCTTGTCCCCTGGCCGGGTTCCCAGAGGCCCCGCCCAGTCTGCAGACATGGTTGTGCTGAAAGGCGTCCCTGCTTTACTGTCTCCAGAGTTGCTGTATGCGTTGGCGCGTATGGGGCACGGAGACGAGATTGGTGAGCGCTAGGGGTGCAGACTGGGAGATATTAGGCGTCGTTCTCAGAGAGGGGTTGGGGCACTGTCACGGCCACCCAGCCCCTCTGAGCAGGAAGCCCCAACCCTGCTTCTGTTGGGAGTTGGGATCGGTGGGCAGCTCCAGCTGCGAAGTTCTCGGTTCCACCCCCGCGGTCACCAGGTGACGGTGGCCTTTGGCCAGGTTCGAGCTGTACCCGGGTGGGTGGAACTCTATTGGGGCGGGGGGTGGGGGCCTGCGGGTCCCGGCGGGAGGGCAGGTCCCACCCCTCCACAGCCTGGGTGTCCTGGGCTAACCAGCCCCGGTCCTACCGCCTCCCCATACCTCCCGTGAGGGCTGCCCCCCTGCCCCTCCTCCCAGGCAGGGGTGTCGCCCTCTGAGCCTGCCTTTCCCACTGGGCCGACTCTCAGCGGAGCCGTGGAGATGACCCACCGCCTGCACCCACTGATCATGGTGGGCGGGTGGACTGTTTGATCCCTGGGTGGGGTGTGCGGCCTCCTGGCCAGCACTAGGGCCTTCTGACCAACTCTTCAGTTCTTGCAGACGCTAACTTCCCCACCTCCTCCATCTGTCAGTGTGGGCCTGTGGAGATCCGGGCAGATGGTGAGGAGAGCGGAGGGTGGGGGGTGGAGTAAGGGGTGGGGTGGGAGGGGTGGTCGTAGGCAGTGGTCCTGGGCCCCAAATTGACCTTACTGAGGCCAAAGAGTGAAAGTTTTGGATGGTAGTGGGGGTGAGGGTGTGCCACAGGGGAGGGCAGGAGTCTGAGCCTAGCTCTGTCCCCCCAGGCCTGGGCATCCCGAAGCTCCTGGAAGCTGTGTTGAAGCTGCTGCCCCTGGACACCTATGTGGAGAGCCCGGTGAGGGCCGGAAAGCTGCTCTGCTGCTCTGTGTCTCAATTTCCCCTTTGCCAGACTTCACCAGGCCATCTGCCCTAAAGTAGGGGGAGGCCATATACCACAAAGGGGCCCTGACCCTACTGGAGGAACCTTGAATGGTCACTAGCCAGGGGAGGGCTGTGGTGCTCAGGGCCACAAAACTGACTCCAATATCCCAGGCTGCTGTCATGGAGCTGGTTCCCGGTGACAAGGAGAGGGGCCTGCAGACCCCAGTGTGGAAAGATTATGAGATCCTCCTGCTCCAGGCTGGCTGCATGGTGAGCCTGCAGCCCTGACCATGGGAGGGGCCAGGGACCTTATGTCTTCTGGAGGCTCAGGAAGAGTGAAATATGAGGGGTATCTCACACTCTCCTCACATGACCTTCATCCCTAGCTGTGTGAGCACTCAGAACCACCAGCTGCACCCACTAGCAGAGGTAGAAGAGGTACACCTAGGCTATATGTCTGCCTCCCCCTGAACCCTAAGCTCCCCACTTCTTGCCTAGGATCTTGACCTGTTTACCTGAGGGTCTGTCTCCATGCAGCCCTTGGCCACCTGGCCACCCTTTCTGGCCTCCCATGGGTGTTCCCCTGGGTCCCAGGTATTCTCCCCCACCCCATCCTGGCTGTGGACTGCGGGTCACACAGCTCTCACCCTTACCTGATGGGAAACAGTGATTGTCTTGGGGAACACATTCACTAATTCTCAAGTCCTGGGGAAGACCTACCTGAAGGGACCAGACCAGGAACTCCCCTCCTGCCTAGGGGACCCCTTGAGCCAGTTTGGAGGAATTGCAGGGGGTTTGCCAAGCTGTTTGAGCAGCCCCAAGGTGCAGCACAGCACCTTGTCCAGCCCAGGCCCCAGAGGGGACTTGAGAGACACCACATGTCTCCACTGCCTAGTCCTTGGAGTTAGAGGCTGAGGGCCCTTGGGACCTCTGTCCTGGGAGAACCAGAGAAGTGGAGCCCAGAGAGCCTCGTGCCGTAGCCCCTTGTGCCATAGTTTCAGGGACTCGGGACCTATCCATGAGGGTTTCTGGGCAGAGCCCTTCCAACCATGCCATTTTGTCTTCCAGGGAACCCTGGCAAAGATAGAGAGATTTGAGTTTTATGAACAAGCCAAAAAGGCTTTTGCTGTTGTTGCAACCGGGTGAGTGCCAGCTGGCTCTGCTGGCTCAGACGTGCACTCACTTCAGGCCTTTAGGAAGGCCCCATTCCCGCCCTCTGCTCAGCTCCTGCCCAGTTGAGACTCAAAGAGCAGGAGGGATTTGGGCAAGCAGGGTCCCTGTTTGCCTTGCCCAAGGCGGCTGTTCTATGGATCTTTGTCTAGCAGGTGGGATGGAAGATGGGATCTGCCATGTCCCCAAGACAGCACCCTGGCCCTATGCTCAGCTTAGCTCTGCTCCTCCTGCAGGGAGACAGCACCGTATGGAAACATCATCCTCAAGAAGGGAACAATTGCCCTTGGTTCCCAGTTTGAGGCCTGGTGAAGACTACTTTGAGGGGAGAAGAATCGACAATGCCATAAGGGCTACCCACAGACCTGGACTTCAGCCAGGGTCTCAAGGTGCCAGTGGGTTTTGAGAGATCCTCCCAACTGAGACTGAGATTTCCCTGATTTTTAAAAATGATGGAAAAACATGGCACTATCAGCCTTCAATCTAAAAACTGTTCTGCCTCCCAGATTTGTTTGGAGCTGAGCTCAGGGAGGCTCCTGGATGCTCAGAGAATAGCCACCACCCACCCCTGATGAATGCTCAGGTGGGAATCTTTGTGGGAAATGAGGCCTGGGGCTGGGCAGAGTGCCTGGCAGAGAAGCCAGATGTCGGTGCAGTGGCTGTGTGGCAGCCGAAAGAGAATGGAAGCTTCTACACCAATTGCCCAAGATTCAGACACAAGGTAGCACTTGATCAGGGCCACTCCCTCAGCCCCAAGTAGGAAGACAGGAGTCACAGCTGGCCTAACACTTTAGGAGGAAAACAATGCAGGCCTCGTGAGGGGGTGTATGCTGGTAAAGATGGTGTTGGCCTACCAGGAAGCTGGTATAGGAGCACCCACTGTATATACCTGAGCAGCCAGGCGCCTTGTGCCTGGGGATGAAACCAGATAGAACCTTCCTGCTTCCTACTTGAAGCCTTGATTGTCCTGGGAGGTAAAGGACATGCAGTCATATAGCACCCAGTGCTGGGCAGAGGGGCAGCAAGATACAACAGTGACCTAAAGGGGGTTGGTGCCTGGAGGGTCAGTGATGATTTACTTTTGTGACACTTGGACTGGGTCTCAAGCCACTGTCCAGAGCTGAGGTCCTCCCTTTAGGCCTGTGGTAGCAAAGCTGTAGCATGCGTGCCACAGTGGGCATGCAGAGCCCTCTCTGTTGACATGTAAGCAAAGCATTGGATAATAGTTGTTTTTCCTAAACTAGAACCTCAGTATTTAGGTTTAATTGCAATGTTGGCACTTTGCTGTAAAAGGTGGGTTTGAGGTTGCAGTTTGGGCACCTGGTCTCTAAGAGGTTTGTCATCGGTGCCCTAGGCCCTCTCCTTCCCTCCAATTCTTTCAGCCATGTGGATGTAGGAAGAAGACAGAACAGATAGAAAATGGGAGCTTGTTTGGGTAGGGGCCCTCTCAGGGGGTAGGGGTGGGTCACAGGCACCCAGGCCTACACTCCAGGACCACAAGGAGTAGTAGGGCAGGCAAGCCAACTGGGCAGGGATTTGGGGCCAGGCCTGGGGAAGGAACCCCACCAAAGCCTGGCCATAGACCTTGGTGACTATCCCATCTGCTCCTCTGGCATGGTCCCTATCCACCAGTCACTAAACACAAGCACTGCTGCCTAGCAACAGCCAGTAAGTAAAGTGACTTTGCTTTCTGGCAAAGCACTCAGTCAGCACTGCCCAAATGGCTGGTTACTCAGCTGATATGAGAGGTGTGTGTGCAGAGACTGCAGAGAGAATTTAAGGAAGGAAGAAGTTTGAAGGCCACCCCCCTGCAGTACCCTCCCTATTCCATGAGGGGCATGAAGAAGCCAGGCCTGTTTTTGACTGAAAGACTTCCCCAGCACCCCTCGGGGTGTTGTCCCCAGGTCACAGGTTGCAAGACAGAATTAGCCTGTGCTTCCCTCTGTCTCAGTGGACTGCTCACAATGGTGGCAAATTCCTGAGTCCCAGATTCCCTCTGCCTTTCCTGGACACATCCACCTATGCTCTTCAGGCAATGGAGAAAATACCCACAGGTATTTGCTCAGGCAAGGTTGGAGAGAGGCATGGCTATGAACTCCACCTTGGCCAGTGCCCACCTTTGGGCTTAGCAGGTACTAGACTCTTGGAACTTTAGAAATCCACAGGTCCCTCTACCTGTCTGGGACCTAGAGAAGGGGTCAACATGGGGCAGCCTAAATCTCCAGCCTGAGTCTGATTTTCTCAGGGGCAGTGGGCACCAGTTGCTGACCATCTGTGCCTGAGTTGCTCTGGTATTGGCCCCTGGCCATTTCTGACCTGACATAGGCGTGACCTGGGAGGGGAGTGCTTTGAGCATTCATATGCCCCAGGGATTCAGGGCCTGAGATTCTGTAGCCTCTGCCGATACTGCTCTGCTCTGCTGATTCTGAGCTGCCCACCCGCTGCCCTAGTTCTTATCAGGATGACAGGTAAGGCACACTGAGGTGAAGCTGGACCTGCTCTGCCCCTATCAGAGCAGGACCTTGAAGGTCATAGTCTTGGCCTTGGTGAGTTCATCCATAATGGGATATGGACTCACCCATAATGTGGGGACCTGGCTCCTACTTTGTAGGGCTTGGAGACAGTGGTGCATACACATGTACCATTCATGTCCTTGGGAGAGTAGGGACATGCTAGGGGACACAGCGAGTTCTAGGGCATGTGAGGTCACCTAGACAAACACAGCAGCTGCATGCCAGCCAGGGACATCAGGATCAAGAGTTGGCAGCCTCTCCCAGGTGCTGTCTTGGCCATGGGAGCTGCTGAACTTGCGTGGTTCAGGCCAGTGGGTTTGGGCCTAGGTACTTCTCCCTCACTGCAGAGCATGGATGCCAAGCACGCCACTATGTACAGAATGTGAGATAACTCAAGTGGCCTGTGCTTATGCTAAGGCATTGGGCCTGCTGAAGGAGACCCTGCAAGAGGACCAGCACCCCAGACAGCTGGATGGCCACCTACAAATTTAGGACGAAATGTTTGCATACCTGACCTGTGTCTGGTCTGTTCACTTGAGTTTCTGTGTGCTTGCACCTGTGCACCTGAGCACATGTAATATACCTACACACCTGTATGCCTACCTGCCTGTCTACCAGTGCACCTGTCCACCTGAGTGCCAGTAGTCTCAGCCTCCCTCCTCGCTAGCCCTCTCCTTTCCCAGGTCCCTTCTCCCAGGGAGCCCTGGGCAAGTTCTGTTTCTCTGCTGAAGCTGATCCTGGTGCTGCCTTTGGTGCTCACCACTGACTACTGCCGCATCCTTTATTCCATCACCACGTGGAGAGAGATGGCCACGTGGGGGCCAAATGTTCAGGAGCTGAGGGTCAGCTGGGCCTTTTATGACCCTGGGGACTCCTTCTGTGCCATGCATGGGACAGATACAGCTCCCTCCTCCTAGACAGCAGGTTGGGCTCCAGAGTTGTTGGTCTTAAAGAAGCATGTGGCCTTCCACTTCTGTTTGCAGGTATTTATTTTTCTAGCTGAGAAGGGTCAGCAATCCCGACCTCCTGGACCTTGGGACAGGAGTATAAGGGTGTTCAAGGCCCCTAGGACTCCTCCACAGGGTGGTAGATGTGGTCTAGGTCCTCCTCTGGCCCCTGAAGCACCTGGCGAGACAGCACTGCCCAGGAAAAGGGCTCTTCCTCAACCTGGATCTCCTCAGATTCAGGATGGTACAGACTGTCGTGGTCAGTCTCAGGACCCTGCTGGGGTCTTCGAAAATGGCTCAGCATGTCCTCAGTCTCCACCCAGGCTTTGTTACCTAGGGACAGGCAGGTGGAGCCATAGCCTGTTTCCCTTACAACATTCTCCCCTTCACCCCCTCCCACTAGCCCAATCCTTCAGCTCAACCCCATGGGGCAGATTCCTGCTGTGACCTTGGTCCCACCCTGACCTGGCTTCGAGATGGCTGCAAGATTTGGTTTTGGCGCAGGGAACAGATCCACCAGTTGGTCATCCTTCTCCAGGGGTTGCAAGATGTGGTTGCCCCAGGCTCTGCCCACACAACTGGGTTAGGTTCAGGTGCAGGTGGGGAGAGGTACTCACCACCCCCTAGGTAGCTGCTGGCCCTGTGAAGCCACTTCTGCTCACTTCCCATCAGCTGCCCCAGGAGCTAAGGATAAGCAACTGACCAGGTATTCCCGTGCATCCTTGAGCCACTAAGGGTGGGGAGTGGGGAGATCAGAGCCTCCCAGAGTGAGGGAGGTCAGAAACCATTCTGGTCCAAGACTCAGCCTTTCTTTCTGGGCACTGCAGGGGAGCTGGATAGGGAACATCTCCCAGAACCCCCAGGCCCCTTTCTTCTGGATATGGAGCTGGAGGCAGTTGGACATGGTTCTTCTCCATTTTCCCAGTGTACCCCAAGCCCAAGGAGGGCCCAGATAGAATAGGCTAGGCTTTGGGAGAGAGTACAAGGGGGCATCTGGGGTACTTACTTCTCTGTGTCCTGTTCAGAGGCTGAATGTTTGCCTTTGGTCTTGTCAGGGACCTGGAAGAGTAAGTCACAGGTGTGGACATTGCCAGTCAGTGGCCCAAGATCAAAGGACATGTGGAGAGGCTGCTCCAAGGCTGAAGTGGGCTAAAGGCAGGGCTTGCCAGCTCAGGACAGCCTGAAGGTGTCATCAGGGGTAATGGGGATTAAAAGCAAGGGGAGTCATGCCACCAGTCTGGCCCCAAATGACCAGCCCACTTTGATTCCTGGCCAGGCCTAGGGAAGGCCATGCTATCCAGACAGGGATTGGGACCTCAGTTTCTGGCTCTGAGACCCCACTACACCCCCAGCTCTCTGGGCACTGCTTGTTTTCTGCAGAGATTAGTTGAGGCTACCCCTGCACCTCCCTTTTCTGGTTGGTGATCTGGAGAGATCAGCTCTTGTGAGTCCAGCACCCTGTGAGGCAGAAAGAGGAGAGCAAAGCAAAGTGGGCTCCCAAAGGAGTTTCGAGTTCCAGGCCACTGAAGTGACTGTGAAGGCATCTCCCTCATCTTGATTGCTCCCAACTGTGCACAGTCATAGCCCAGGCCACCATTATCAGCACAGTGCATCTGAGCTCCTTGCCCAGATGAGCATCAAGGAGGCCCAGCTACATGGAGACTTCCTAGGTGCCATCAATGCCCTTGTGCCCCGCCTGGGGTCACTTGAGTGTCATGGGGGCTTGCCCATCAGACCCCAGTGGAAAGAGGTCTGCCCCTTCTCATTCCAAGGCCACACCTCAGTGACCAGCCATATGGTATCAGCAATCATGCCAGTGCTCTGCCTCTACTCCTAGGCCAGCTTGAGGTGGCTGGGGATGGGCGCTGATGCCATTTCCCAACATTTCCTGCTGGTTGGACCATAGGGTGACAGTCATGGGTAGGAGCCAGGCAGAGGGACCCACATACCTGGGATGCTGGGACTGCACCAGCCTCTTGAAGCAGCACAGCCACCAGGCAGGTAACCAAGAAGAGCCTGGGGGACCAGGGAGGGGTGTGAGGCTGGCAAGGGGCTGCCCCTGCCCATGAGCATCTCTCTCGGCCCTACCCTGACAGGACCTGGATGAGCAGGGAGTCCTAGGTAGGTTCCTGGAGGGATCCACAGGTAGTTTATACTTCATTTCACAGAAAGGGACTTGCAGGCACCGAGAGATGAGACACCCAGGCACACACCTGCTCCCATGCTGTCAGGGCAGGGCCACTTCATCCCCCGTTACTGCACCCCACTGCTACTCCTGGGTAGACCCCACTGTAGCAGGCAGTGACAATGCTGAGGACTCCAGAGGCCACACAGGCGCACACATGTGGGTGTGTGCATGGGCATAGGTACATACATTTAATGGGATTCGGCTCAGTAATGCAGGTTCACAGTACCCTATGATGGCTGCAATCTCACTGATGAGGATGGATGGAGTCCCAAGCACAGGGCCACATTGCAGCATCCTGAGGGTATGCCACATTGCTGAGCAGCCCATCATGTAGGCAGGAAGGATGGTACATCTGTCTGGTCAGGTGACGTACATATTGTGTGTGTGATATGTGTTGTGTCTGTGCTCTATCGTGTCTGGTATGTGTGTGTGGTATGTGTGTAGTGTGGTATGGTGCATGATGTGTACATGTGTGGTGTGTGGGGACTGCAGCATCACAGAAACCTTTGCTCCTTCCCTAGTGACTCAGCACTTCAGAATAGGAATCAAAGGGAGGAATGGGGATGCCTTGGAGGCCTGGGGTGGGGATAAAGCCTAACGGGGTTCAACTACCCTGCATCTTCTCAGGACCCTCAACAGAGGCCAGTTCCTATGCTGGGCAGGGGGCTTACCCTTGTCCTCACCTCTGGACTCTCCTCCCACACTGAATGCAGCCCTGCAGGGACCCTGGGCCTTCCCAAGCCTAAAATCCCAGCTCCTGGATGACCCTCCCTCAGGGCACCCCAGCCCCTGGTGCCCTCCAGGTACCACTTATCTTCTTGACTCCGACTCCTGCTCTTTGGCCATCACAGCCTGGTGCTTCCTCCACCTCCCAGGGGATCCCACGATAAGGCACTCTAGTGCACAGCTCGGGGCTCTGGAGCTGCCCTCAGAGGTGAACCTTGGATACAGACTCCAGACAGATGAAGATTGGAGAACCCCTGGGAGGTGGGGAGGGGTGCGCTCATCCCCAACTGCCTAGGAAGAAGGTTCCAGGGGCCACCAGCAAACACGGTCTGACCCTGTAGTCTGTGAACCCTTCTCCTCCCTCCCAGACCCTCCCTGGAGCCAGGCCTGAAGTGGGCACAGGGAGTCCCCAGAAGCAGTCTCTGAGCCAGGGCTCCTGTATCTGCAGCCAGGTGCTCCTGATCACACCCAGCAAGCTGTCAGGTTTTGGTGGTTAGGGGGTCAGGGGCCCTGGAATCACCTCCTCATGGTTGGGTCCCCTTCTCAGTGTCCAGGTGCTCTGGGGCGCTGTAGTTGACGATCCAGGGGTCATGTGCCTGGCCCAGTTCCTCCGCATCCAGGCTGCTTAGGGTTTTATTGCCTCCACCTGGGTGTGTCTGTTCAGAGGTCAGTAGCCAAGGGCTGGGGATTTAGCTCAGTGGTTATGCCGCCTGCTGCGCAAGCACAAGGACCCAAGTTTGATCCCCAGTACCAAAAAACAAAAACAAAACAGACCATCAGAGGTCAGTAGCCAGCAATCCTGCTGGCCCAGGGACTGGGCCCACAGCTGCCCAGCCCTACTCCAGTCTGGACACCTGAGCTGCCCCCTGAGGTACCTACTCCCCCATCTTTCCTCCTGGTCACCCACCTGGCCCACTCCACCTGCCTATCTCACCAAGACCCATTCATTCCCTGAGCATTTCAGCACTGGACTACCACCCCCACCCCCTGCCATGAGACCCCATCTCCCAACAGAATCACCTACACTCACACCCACTCCTGTCCTCCCCTCAGGCCACACCAGTTGAAGGATCATACATGGGAAATACTCTGGCTTTGAGACCCAGGAGATGGGTTATTGGCCAGAAGCCACGGACTCCAGACTGGGCAGATGCCACCTTAAACAGTATGGTTAACCTGGAGTTGTGACGCTTGAGGACCATCTCACCATACTCTTCAGCTGCACTCTTTAGCCCCTCAGGGCACCAGCCCTTGGGCAGCTGCTGCCACGGAGCTGAGCCACTGGTCTTCCAGGCTCAAGACTCCTGTGGCTGAGCTGGGATTCTAATTGGTTGGGGTAAGGATCATAAAAAAAAATTGCAGGCTCTGGACCTAGATCCATGGCATAGGAGCAATTGAAAAGTGGTTGCTCCAAGAAGTGACTGTATTAGAATGGAAGGGAGGGTGCCTCCCACCCAACCCCACCTAACCCCCAAATTCAAATGGCTGGGCACAGTGACCACAGAAGAGGCAGCAGATACCAGTGGCTCTGGGAGCTGGGGTGGCAGACAGCAATGATAGCAGGTCAAAAAGAGGTTCAGGAAGCCAGGGATTTAGCTCAGTGGTTCCGCTGCCTGCCTAGCAAGTGCAAGGTCCTGAGTTCGATCCCCAGTACCAAAAAAAAAAGAGCTTCAGGGAGATCAGGAATGATGAATCCATGGGGGCCTTGGTGCACTCCACATCTGAGCTGACAGAGAAAAAGAGACTCTACCCAATATTCCAATCTTGCCTTGGCATCCCCTATTCTCTCCCGGCCCCACCACTTTTTCCCTGACCTCCACCACCACTCTTTCTATCCTAGACTCTCCCATGGTCCCCTATGCCCCTTTCTCAGATGATCCCACTCTCCCCACCCCTCTCCAGTCTCCCTAGTCTCCCCTCTCCCCACCGCTTCCCTCTGTGCTTCCCCTTGTCCTCTCCCACCTCCCCGTGTCCCTCCCCTCCTATCCTTCCCCGCTCTCCCCAGACCCCCTCCCCTCTCTTCATTTCCCATCCCCATCCCTCCTCTCCATCCTCCCCCCTTATTCCAGCTCTACCCAACCCTCCCTGTTCCCATTCCCTCCTCCACCCTCCCCAGCCTTCCCTTCATCTCCACTTGCTTTCTCCACCCCTCTGGCCACAGCGAGCCATAGACCCTTGAAGAGAAGGCAGAGAAGTCCTGAAGGGAAGGTGTCAACACCACCTAAACTTCAGTGTGCCCAACGGCATGCACCGCCTATTCACAGGACCAGCCCAGGAGCAGAGCCCACAGATTGAGGTATGTGAACTTCTGACCAAGGCAGACCCTGGGAGCTAGGCTGAAGAAGAGAAATAGACTGTATTGTACTGGGAGAGGTGTCAGTGCCACCTGTCAGGAGGAAAACAGCCCACACACAGATTTGGCTCAGAAAGATCAATAAACCAATAAGCACAAGCAGCAACCACTTTCAGGGAGTGAAATATCAGGATTCAAAATGGCTCCAATATGTAATTGAAAAACATTTAGTTTTTTTTTTGTACCAGGGATTGAACTCAGGACCTTGTACTTGCAAGGCAAGTATGGTACCACTGAGCTAAATCCCCAGGCCCAACATTTAGTATTTTTAAAACTAAGAGATTTTATATTTGAGCAACTTTAAGTTTAGAGAAAAGTTGAGCAGAAAGCACAAAATTCCCCTCTGCCTCTCACCCAGCTTCCCGCTTCTCACCATCTTGCACTGGTCCAATGCATTTGCTACAATTGATGAGCCAATTAAAACATGTTTCCATTCTCAAATTACAAGACAGTCAAAGAAACAACATTGGAGGAAAGAAGCACAGAATAGAAACTACCTCTGAGTGGACCCAGATGTTAGACTTAGCAGACAAAAAAATAAATGGAAAACATATTTAAAGACAAAGGAGAATAAACTGTGAGTGGTAATCCCAGCATTTAGAAAGCCAAGGCAGAATTGCAGTGAGTTTGAGGCCAGCCTGGACTACATCATGAGCTCAACTACATAGTGAGACCGTGTCTCAAAAAAAAAAAAAAATACAAAGAAACAAAAATACCAACTAACTAAACAAACAAAAGATAAAGGAGTATACAGTGGACCCTTGACTTAAGAACTCGATCAGGGCCGGGGATTTAGCTCAGTGGTTCTGGCACCTGCCTCGCAAGTGCAAGGTCCTGAGTTCGATCCCCAGTACAAAGAAAAAAAAAAAAGAACTTGATCAGTTCCTGAGGGCTTGTTGTAACTTAGTACAGCTGAGATCTGGATGGTTATCTGGGTATATACTATAGATAACAGGCAAATGAATCTTCCATTAACCTAATTAACCCAAGTTGTTTGTATGTCAGCCTGGTCATAGCTTGAGGGTCCACTATATGATGAAATGACTTAAATAATCCCAATAAATAATCAATTTAAAGAACCAAGCCAGTGATTTGTACCTGTGGTCCCAGCTACTTGAGAGGCTAAAGCAGTAAGATCCCTTGAGCCCAGGAGTTCAAGGCCAGCCTGGGCAATATAGGAGGACCCCGTCTCCTAAAAACAAAGCAAAACAAAGAATCAATGAGAATCCGTTGAAATCCAAAGACAAAGAGAAAATTTTTTTAAAGGTGAGAGAGAAATGCTACAAGTATACAGCATCCATTAATGACTAATTTTTCTTTTTTTTTTTTGGTACCAGGGATCGAACTCAGCACCTTGTGCTTGCTAGGCAGGCAGCAGCATCACTGAGCTAAATCCCCAGCCCTTAATGACTAACTTCTTATTAGAAACAATGGGGCCACCAGGCAACATGTGAAGAAGGAGTACACCAATCCTTCACATCCACAGAGGAAATGACACTCAATGAAATCAGGCCTACATGGATACCAAAACTAGACAAAGACACTACGAAAAAGTTACAGACCAATATTCCTCCTGAATACAGACACAAAGATCCCTAATAAAATATTAGCTAAGTCCTCCAAGATGGAGCAGCAGTGGAGGCATTTCGGTGCCTGTGCTGTGGAGTGAAGTGAACCGTTATGGACAGAATGGCAACTTCACGTGCGCTCTGAAGACCGTCAATAAGATACTACAGATCAACAAGGACAATGTAACTGCCCTGCACTGTAAAGTGGTCTGCCTTATTCAGAATGGAAGTTTCAAGGAAGCCTTGAATGTCATCAACACGCATACCAAAGTTTTAACCAATACCTCTCTCTCCTTTGAGAAGGCATATTGTGAGTATAGGCTCAACAGAATTGAAAATGCCTGAAAACGATAGAAAGTGTCAACCAGCAGACAGACAAGCTAAAAGAGCTATATGGACAAGTGTTATACCATTTGGAACGCTATGATGAATGCTTAGCTGTGTATAGAGATCTTGTGTGAAACTCCCAAGATGATTATGATGAAGAGAGGGAAACAAACCTTTCAGCAGCTGTTGCAGCTCAAAGCAATTGGGAAAAAGTGGTTCCAGAGAACTTGGGCCTCCAAGAAGGCACCCACCAACTGTGCTACAACACCGCCTGTGCACTGATTGGACAAGGCCAGCTGAACCAGGCAATGAAAATCCTACAGAAAGCTGAAGATCTTTGCTGCCGGTCATTTTCCGAAGACTCTGATGGAACGGAGGAAGACCCACAGACAGAACTGGCCATCATTCATGGTTAGATGGCCTACATTCTGCAGCTTCAGGGTCATACAGAGGAGGCTTTGCAGCTTTACAATCAGATAATAAAACTGAAGCCAACAGATCTGGGATTACTAGCTGTAATTACAAATAACATCATTACCATTAATAAGGACCAAAATGTCTTTGACTCCAAGAAGAAGATGAAATTAACCAATGCAGAAGGAGTAGAGTTTAAGCTTTCCAAGAAACAACTTCAAGCTATAGAATTTAACAAAGCTTTACTTGCTATGTACACAAACCAGGCAGAACAAACTATCTACTGGTTTACAGTCCCAAAGTCCTGAGCATCTCCTGCCTGTGTTAATCCAAGCTGCCCAGCTCTGCCGGGAAAAGCAGCACACAAAAGCAATAGAGCTGCTTCAGGAATTTTCAGATCAGCATTCAGAAAATGCAGCTGACATTAAGCTGACCATGGCACAGTTGAAAATTTCTCAAGGTAATATATCCAAAGCATGTCTAATTCTGAGAAGCATAGAAGAGTTAAAGCATAAACCAGGCATGGTATCTGCATTAGTGACCATGTACAACCATGAGGAAGATATTGATAGTGCCATTGAGGTCTTCACACAGGCTATCCAGTGGTACCAAAACCATCAGCCCAAATCTCCTGCTCATTTGTCCTTGATAAGAGAAGCAGCAAACTTCAAACTCAAATATGGGTGGAAAAAGGAGGCAATTAGTGACCTAGAACAGCTATGGAAGCAAAATCCAAAAGATATTCACATCTTGGCACAGCTTATTTCTGCTTACTCACTTGTAGATCCAGAGAGAGCAAAAGCTCTTAGTAAACACTTGCCTCATCAGATAGCATGTCTCTAAAAGTAGATGTCGGGGGTCTTGAAAATTCTCCTGGTGCTATGTACATTCGGAAGAAGGGTGGAAAAGTCACCGGAGATAGTCAGCCAAAGGAGCAAGGTCAGGGAGATTTGAAAAAGAAGAAGAAAAAGAAGGGAAAACTGCCTAAGAATTATGACCCAAAAGTTAACCCAGACCCAGAAAGATGGCTGCCAATGCGAGAACGTTCTTACTACCAAGGAAGAAAGAAGGGTAAAAGGAAGGATCAGATTGGAGAGGGCACTCAGGGAAAAACTGCAAGAGCTTTGTCTGAACTGGATGGCAGTAAAACTGTGAGCAGTCCTCCTACCTCCCCAAGACCCGGCAGTGCAGCAACCCTATCTGCCTCTACAAGTAACATTATACCCCCAAGACACCAGAAACCTGCAGGGGCTCCAGCAACAAAGAAGAAACAGCAACAGAAATAGAAGAAAGGAGGAAAAGGCGGCTGATGATTAGAATATTCTCAGTCCAGGCTGTTTTTAAGCTAGTCTCAGTGACACTAGGAACATAATAAAGGTAACACAGTGAGAAGCGTACAACTGTCCCCTCTTCCATCCCCATTTTCCGTAAAATAATTTCTTGTGCATCAAATAGGAAAACATCTTCCTCAAACTGTCCAGTTAGATTTGGCCTACTTGTCCTACATAGTTTTGCACACATTATGAGGACTGAAAATGATTGGGCATTTACCCACCTTGATATCTGTTGCATCCTTTATCTTTGTTTGTTGATCTTTTTTCCATTTCACAAATAAGGCACATTATCCTGAGGTTTCCCAGGATTTTACAGAAACTATTTTTGCTGTTTCAACTAGAGTCTGAAGATTGAAGATGCTTGTTCCTATCAAGTCCCACTTTAAATTTTGTCTCAGAAGGCTCTGGGAAACTAAAAGTGGAATCTTCTGAGCATTCCAAATATTTGCTTAGAAATATCATGTGATAAAAAGGGACCTTATTAAAACACTGGTGTTCTTCACTTAGCTAAATGAGTGGCCACAAACAGACTACAGTAAATATCTTAAATAATTTTAACCACAAATTCTCTGTCACATGATGGGATGCTTTTCATTTATGTAGCAGCTTTGTCATTGTCATTTTCAGATATATTAACATGCTGATTTAGCACCACTGAAGACTTCAAGAAAATACATCAGTGTTGCAAACAGTTCACTCTTAGACCCAGTGTCAGAGGTCAGATGGGTTTGGACTGTCTCAATCAAAAAGGTTAATGTTCCTGTCAAGAATATGAAAATTTAAAAAAATATGAAAATTGACTTCATTACTTAGAGAGGAAATCAATACCACACAGTATTAAAATCTATCCGAACTGGTTGACCCAATTAATATACTCAAATGGCTCTTCTTTCTAGTTATGGGTTATGACTGTTCATTACCTTTCCCAGAGTAATGAAGCGTTTTACAGTCAGTTTGTGATGTAACTGTTGCTCGTCTTTGCTTACCTACAAGCCACTCTCATTCAGCAGCTGTGCGACATGTTAGGATGCCTACCCTTGTTGGTATTCATTTTGTGCTGGCCATTTATTTTAGACTTTTGAGTATTTCCTTGTGACTGTATTACTCTATGTTAATTAAATGCTGCTCTGTTTGACTGAACATAAAAAAAAATATTAGCTAAATTCTGCAACACATGAAAAGTAATTTATTCTAGAAATGAAAAATTGGTCTAATAGTTTAAAAATTGTGGGGCATGGTGGCATATGCCTCTAATCCCAGTACTTGGGAGGCTGAGGCAGGAGGATTGCTGCGAGTTTGAGGCCAGCCTGAGCTACATCGTACGTTCAAAGCCAGCCTGACCTACACAGTGAGACCCTGTCTTAAAATACAAAACAAAAAAATTAAAAATCAATTACTTGTGCTGCCATGCTGTGAATGAAGGGGCAAAAGAACTCATTGTAACAGACACACACAAAAAAATCATCTGACAAAATCCAATATCCATTTATGGTTAAAAAAAAATAAAAACCTTTTAACAAACTAGGGCTAGGCCCTGAGTTCAATCCCCAGCACCACAGAGAATGGGGGCTAGGAATAGAAGAGAACTTCCTAAACCCACTAAGAAGACATCTACAAGAATCCTATGACAAACACCATGGTTAGCAGTAGAAGACTGACAGCTCCCTCCTTCATATTGAGAAAGAACAAGGAAACCCACTTTCACTACTTTCATGCTGCACAGTGCTGGAGGTTCAGCAGATGAACAGGTGAGTCTTGAGGATGTTATGCTAAGTAAAATAACCTAGACACAAAGAGACAAACACTGTATGATCTCAGAAGCTGAAAGTGGAAGGGTGGCTGTTGAGTAGGGCCATAGAATGAGGAAATGATATGTTGTCACAGGGTACAAACTGCAAGTGATAAGATGCACAAATTCTGGGGATCAATGTTCAACATGGGTCACAATGGGTGTGTTAATTAGATTGTGGTGATTATTACACAATATGCTCATAGATCAAAGTGTCATATACACCTTTAATGTATATAATCTTTGTTCACCAGTTATTTTAAAATGAAAAGGGCCTGTGTATAGAATATATTAATAATTCTTACAACTTAAGAAGACAACTTAGTTGAAAAATGTTCAGAACATCTGAACAGATACTTCACCAAAGAAGATACTGTATACAAAGGGATAATAGACCCATGAAAAGATGCTCAGCATCTTTAGTCATTAGAGTAATGCATATGTAAACCACAATAAGGCACCACTACACATCTGCTTGGATGGGCAGAATTGTCTCTCCTAAAGTCCTATATTGAGGTTCTAACTCTCAAAACATGACTGTATTTGGAGACACATTTTTTTTTAGATTGAGTCTTGCTATGTATTCTAGACTGGCCTTGAACTCACTACATAGCCCAGGCTGGCCTCAAACTTGTGGCAATCCTCCTGCCTCAACCTTCCAAGTGCTGGAATTGCAGACAAGTACCACCATGTCCAGCAAGAGACAGGGTTATTAAAGGGGCAATTGAATTAAAATGATGGCATTAGAGTGGACCCTAATCAAATATGACTGCTGTCTTTAGAAGATGAGACTAGGACACAGACACATAGAAAGAATACTGTATCAAGACACAGGGAAGACATGCTGTCTGCAAGTTAAGGAGGGAGGCCTCAGGAGAAACCAACCCTGCTGACACCTTTATCTCAGACTTTGGCCTCCAGAACAGGGACAAAATTAATTTCTGTTGTTTAAGCCACCCATCAGTGGTACTATGGTTATGGTAGCCCAAGCAGGCTACTACAGATGACTATACAAACAACAACAACAACAACAATAACAACAAATGTAGGTGAAAATGTGGAGAAACTGGACCCCTTATACACTGCGGGTGAGAATGTAAAATGCTGCAGCCTGTGTAGAAAATCATTGTGGCATTTTCTTAAAAAGCTAAACATCAACTTACTGTTTGAATTAGCAGTTCCCTTCTTTGGCATCTACCCAAGGGAAGTGAAAGCACATGTCTACCAAATACTTGAAAGGAATGCTTAACATTATAAACAATACATGTCTGGAAACAATCCAGATGCCCACTGATAGATGCAACATGATGCATGCATGCAGTAGGTATGTTCTGCAGTCCCTGTGGTCCACCAACAGCTATGAGCCCGGACCCAAGGGTCACATCTGCCATTGACACACTGTGGGAAACATAACACACAGTCACCAAACACCTGCTGGACACTGTCTGTATACTAGGCATCCTGCAGATACCAGTACCCAGAGTGACTAGGAAGGACAAGGCTCACCCCAGGAAAGCTTACAGCCCAGGGGTTCAGATGCTGACACAAAGAGACTGTCCTCTGGGTGAGTGGGGGCCAAAATCTAGCTGTGCCCGACTCCAGCTGCCCCAAACCAGTGGAAAGCCAGGGGCTAGGGAGAGGGCAGTCTGAGCACCCCCACCAGGTCTGCTGGAGACCCAGGGATTTCCAGGTGGGGAGCAAGGGCTCAGCTGATCCGGGGGTCTGTCCCCTGTGGCAAGGTGGTGTGAATGTGTGGGAGAAGTGTGGATTTGTGTGGTTAGTGTCCGAGGTGAGTCAGGGTATGAGAAGTGTGAGCATGGTGTGTGGCAAGTGTGTATGATGTGAGGCATGTGAGATGTGTCTGAGGAGTGCATCAGGCATGCAAGTGTGAGGTATGTGAGTGTGAGGTCTATGAGTGTCAGGTGCATGCCCGGGAGGGTGGGGGGCCAGGGACAGGTCTGATATGGGGGGTGGCCTGACTGCTGTGGTTCCTCCTCCAGCAGGAGTCTCCATGGCAACCGCAGCCTCGGTCTCGCGGCTCCAGCCCCTCGCCCGCCCCGCCCCGGCTGCTGCAAAGCGTCTGGAACTGCATCCTCCGCATTCACATCCGCATCCCCGTCCTCCCGCGACTAAGTCCAGCAGCAGCTGCCGTTGGAACTGCCAGTGAGCCATTTCCGCGTTTCTCCTTGTAGAGTGGGGGCGAAGGGCCCGAGTGTGTGCTGGAGTGTGCAAGGAAGGATGTGCGCAGTTTGAGGATGTGCGGGTGTGCGCGCGAGTGCCTGTGTAGGGTGTGCAGGGTGCTAATGTATGCAGGAGCACTTCAGGGGATCTGGTGGCTGCCAAAAAAGCCAGGCAAGCAGCCCTCTTCCCTTGGGGTCTCCGCCCAGGGCCAGGCACGCTTTGCTGACTAGAGGTGGGGAGGATGGTCCTCCGGTCTCTCAGGACTGGGGTTGGGGGGCAACCCTATGGACTGGGGGCAGAATGGAGGTGGTTCCCTCCTGGGATGTCCGGAGGCCCCATGGGCCAGTCGCAGCCTGGACATTCAGAAAAGGCCAGGCATGCGGCCCTGTGCCCTGTCCTGAGCACCGCCAGGGAGTGGAGGGGTCCAAGACCACCGGACATCAGCCCACCCGGCCTATAGTGACTTCAGCCCTTTCCCTGTGTACTGGCTCCACCCCTGCAGGTCTGGGAGAGCCAGTGGGAGGTGTGCGTCCCCAGGGTGGGCAGGGGCCGCCAGTTCCAAGTCTTGATCAGCTGTGTCTGAGTGTGGGCAAGGGGGAAGAAGGGAGGAGTAAGGAGAAGGGGAGCAACAGAACTGGCGTTTGGCCAGAGCACGGAGGATCCTCTACCTGGATGGGGGGGGGGGGTGATGGAGATGGCTGTGTGGCAGGCAGGAGGTAGATAGGAGGTAGGAGGCGAATTCTTCCAGAACCACCTGCCAAAATGTTGGGTGCGCGGCCACAGGTGGCTGGTACATGTGAAGCCTCCAGCACCTGTGCATGCTCCCAGTTTGCTTAGGCCACGAAGCTCACCCAGAGGCGAACCACAGCCAGCTGTAGGGCGTGGGGCGTGAGCGCACGGAGGTGGGGGCGTGGTTGCAGCGTGAGGGAGGGGGAGTGCGGGGGCAAGGCCAGGACCCCAGCGACTGCAACAACGCGAGACTATGCACTTGGCTCCGGCCGGCGGGGCCTGCACAAGCAGACGCCCAGCGGCGCGCGCCTTTCCGTGTGACGCAGCATCCCTGGGTGGTGGGTGCATGCGTGGGAAAGCGAGTCCGTGATGTGACCTCCAGCCCGGCTTCCGTGGGCTTTCTACCAAGGGTGCCCACTCCCATCCATCTGTCTGTCAGCATCCTGTCCAGCCGCCCTCGCCAAATCTTGGGGAGGAGAGATGCACCACGCTGCAACAGGAGTGCACGGCGGCGGGTGGGGGTGCTGGGCAGATGATGCGCCGGAGACAAGATTACAGCACAAGGTGGACAGGGGCCAGTGGAAAGGGTCGGGATGCCCCCTCCCCAATCCTACAGAGCTGTGCGAATGAACCCAGCCCACTTTCCCATCAGGTCCCTGTGAGGCAGTGAATGAAAGGAATGTTCTGGTGTGAGCAGAGGAGGGCGAGAGATCGCACACAGACCTCGCCCGTCTTCCCAGAAGGAGAGGTCTGGAACCAGATGCAGAGGGTCTAGCGCGCCCCCCCCCCCGCAGCTATTTTCCATCTCTAAGACCTGGCTTGGGGGCCTGCCTCTGTTGCCGTGGGAACCCACAATGACGTAAAATGGCCCTCTTGCCACCTCAGGCTTTTGGCTCCCAGAGGACCCTAGATGAAGTTCAGAGGAAAGGCCCCTGCCCTGCTGGAGTGGGGGCCTGGGTGGCCTGCTGCGGGGCTGAGCCGCCACTCTGAAAGGGCTGGTGCGCCTCGGGAGTGCATGTGTGAAGGCCCCAGTCACTGCTTCTCTGTCGCGCCCCCCCACCCCATTGCACCGTCTCCCTCCGGCCCTCGCCTGCCTTTCCTTGCCCAATCTTCTCCGTGCGATCACTCGCGGTTTATATTTACTTTCAATAGCTATTTTTCATCTCTGCCTCCACGCAGTGACATCTGTACCCCATGTCCAGAGAGCCGCGTGATCTGCGCCAAGAATGACGCACAGAGAATTTTCATTCTATTAGCCACAGGTTGCCTGCCAGTCTCAGGCAGAGGCAAAGAACCAGCGCCCTCCCCAGGCTCCAGCCCACCTGTGGAAGAGCCTCCCAGCTGAGTGGGGGATGCCGCCTGACCTCTTCTGGAAGGAAGGGGTCAGGCACGGGGTCACTTTGGGTAAAAGCGCATCAAAGGAAGAGACTCTCACCTCCCTCCCAGGGTGCCTGGCTGAGGTCAGGAGCCTGGTGGAGGAGCTACTTCTTTCCTTCCTCAGAGAACTCCTGGCCAGCTTTCCTCTCTTACACAGCCCTCACTCCCCCACCAGCTCCTTTTGCACACCCTTATCCTGTGCATCTGGGGCCTAACCTGTCTCTCTGTCTCTGGGTGGGACACCGTGACACTATTGCCAGCTGTGCAGGTGTGGACATACCTGATACAGGGTGAGCAACAGTTCCTTGCAGATCTGAGAGCACTTGGCTTTGTTAGGGCTGTGTCACAAATGACCACAACTAGGTGGCTTATAGCAAAATAAATTTATTTTTTTACAATTAAGGAACCAAGAAATAAAAAATCAAGGTGTGGGGCCGGGGATTTAGCTCAGTGGTTCCACCACCTGCCTCAAAGCACAAGGTCCAGAGTTCGATCCTTGGTACAAAAAAAACCCCCCAAAATCCAGGTGTCAACAGAGCTGTGCACCCCTCCAAACCCTAAAAGGAGCATCTCTCCCTCCTTCTAGCTTCTGATGGCCCTGGGCATTCCTTGGGCTACAGCTGCATCACTCCAGTCTGCTTTCCTCTGTACAAGGCATTCTCCACACATCCAAATCTTCTTCTTATGAAGACATTGTCATTGGATTAGGACCCACCCTAATCCAGTATGACATGTTAACTTGATTACATCTGCAGAGATATTATTTCCAAGTAAAGTCTTTTTCACAACTACCAGGGGTTAGGACTTTTTTTGTTTGTTTGGTTGGTTTTTGGTTTTTGTGTTGTCGTTTTGTGTGTGGGGCACATCATTCAACCCACAGCATGCCCTTTGTCACTTGTGTGTTGCAAACATCTTCCAGTTTTATTTTCTGTCTCCACTCTTTGAAGACTGTGTGTTTTGTTTTGTGACACTGGAGATCAAACCCAGGGCCTTCACGTTAAGCTATATCCCCAGCCCATTTTTTATTTTTTATTTTGAGACAGATTCTCACTAAGTTGCTAAATTGCCCAGGCTGGTCTTGAACTTTTAATTCTCATACCCTAACCTCCCAGAGTGCTGCGATTACAGGCATGTACCACCACACCTAGCAAAGGCTATGTTTTGATAAATACAAGTTCTTAATTTCAGTGTAGATATTTAATCAATATTTCCTTTTATGAGTAATGCTTTGTTTTCTCCTGTTGAAGAATCCCCCCCCCAGACCAGGAAAATCTTCTATATTATCTCTGAGATGCCTAGTTGTTTTTGATTTTTCTACATGTAAGCACTTAGAGCGGATTTCTGTGTGTGATATGAAGTAGGGATCACTTCACTGTTGCCAGGCAGATACTGGTTTATCAAGAGGTGTGCAGTGGTGTCCCTATTGTAAACCAGGCTCCATGTGTGTAGAGTGTGTCACATGGGTCTGTCTGCCATGCATCAGCACCACTTGGCTTCCACTGCTATGCACAAAGCAGACACCTGACAGAGACCTCCCCTTGTTCTTCCTCAAAATGTCTGCCTGTTCCTGTCCTCTGCCCTCCACATAAATTTCAATACTTGTCAAGTTCATGAAAAACAAAAAACAAAAAACCTATTGGGATTTTGATTGGATATACTGATTCTACAGAAATATGGGGGTCTACTAAACATGGAGCTCTCCTAAACCTACAGTCACCCTTAACCATACCTTCCCCACTTCTTAGGGGACTCAGCTACTCAGTTCTCCTGTGTCCCCAGTCAAAAACATTTTATCTTCCCATCTCTAGCTACACCTACTCTGAAGCATTTGGTATTTTTGATAATATTTAACTGAAATCTTTCAAAGATCATTTTCTTTTCTTCTTTTTTTGCCACTAACGTATAGAAATGTAACCAATGTCCTCAGTGGACACGCTTTCAATCCTTATAATTTATCTGTAGCATTTCTTGGATTTTCTGCACATAAAAGCATTTTCATCCATCAATAATAATAGCATTACTTAATTTGGGCTGGCCTCAGGTCTCATTTTTTTGCCCTGTACAGCTGCATTAGCTGAGCACCCTGTTTCATAGAACTAACCTGGTCAAGGGCATATTTATCTCCTTCCTGATCTCAAAGGCAAGAAGATTTACATTCAATATGCTTTGCCTTGGGGTTTGGGGGTTAACTTTTATCAGGTTAATGAACTTTCTTTCTGGCCTTATTGTGCTAATGGGTTTTTAAAATAGTAAATGAATGTCAAGCCTTAACAGATACCTTTTCAGCTCCTATTGAAACTGATCAGATGATTTTTTTTCTTTATTTTTAACATAGCAAAGATACTAATTGCTTTTCAAATATTAAAATAATTTTCAAGTCCAAAATACACCCAACTTCTCGTGATCATATATATATATTGCTGGATTTGGCTTCTTTGAATTTCTTTTTTTTTTTTTTTGGTACCAGGAGTCGAACTCAGGTCCTTGCGCTTGTGCAACAGGCAGTGAAACCACTGAGCTAAATCCCTGGCCCACCTTGAATTTCATTTTGGGGTCTTTGCTTTGATGTCTGAAATTTTCTCTTCTTGTGGTCTTTGCCAGGCCATGAGGTCAAGGTTATATAGGCCTCAGGAGTTGGCAAGTATTCCTTTGTTCTCGTCTCTGGAAGAATTTTGTGTGATGCTTGTAGTGTTTACTCATTTACTGACTGGAAAATCAGCAATGATATTATCTGGGCTTGGAGTTCTTGGTGAGAAGGTTTTAATGACAGACTCAATTTCTTAGCACACATGGGACCTTTCTTTTTTCTCATGATCGAGTGGATTTTACTTTCCTACCTTGTCCATCATCAGCATGGAGGTCATCTGCTGCATTCCTTTTCTCTAAAAGATCAACTTAGAGGTGAAAGCATGGATCCTTGAGTCACCCAGTGTTAGTGGGACCTACACCCTCTTACGAGTCCCATGGGGTTTCATCCTGACACACAGCTCTTGTCCTGGGATTTCAGCTCTCCAAAAGATCTGACCTTCTATTTACCCTTAGGGCCAGGCTCTACAGTTAATACCTGGATTTACTTGTAAATGTCCTCTTTAAGTAGCTGTTCCTTAATTTCTGTATTTCCAACAGGGATATCAGCTGAAATGCTAGACACTCAGTTATATTTGAGTTTCAAGTAAAGCTATGAGTGACATTTTAGTATGGATTTGTCTCCTCTTGCACATTGCATGGGACATGCTTATATTTAAATAATGTTTATTGTTTAACAGAAATTTAAATTTAGCTGGACCCTCTGCATTTTTATTTGCTAAGTCTAGCAATCTAACTCTCCTCCTGCTTTTGGATCTTTTCCTCTGAGTGGAATAGATGCCCTTCGAGTGGAATAGCTGCCTTTAGAACATCCTCCAGAGTAAGCTGGCTGGTAGAAGACTCCCCAGTTTGGGGTTTGGGCAGTTCTGACCAGAGGTGCCATCTGCACTGCTGCGAAGCTCAGAGGGTCAGGAAGGGAATAGAAATCTTTGCCTGGATTCTCACTGATTGCCCTGAGGTTAGCCTGACTGCCCATAGTCTGTTTCTGGCTCTGGTATGATGGTCACTGGGACCAGCCCAGAGTTCTGTCCCTCCAGTACCAGTAAGCATAGATGTCCATAGGGTGGCTGGTGGACAGTGATCCTGTCCCTGTCTCTGGACCAGGAGGAGGACCACCATCCACCATGGTGAAGTTGGGCTGCAGCTTCTCTGGGAAGCCAGGCAAAGACCCAGCAGACCAAGATGGGGCTTCCACGGACAGTGTTCCTCTGATCAGCCCCCTGGATGTCAGCCAGCTGCAGCCACCATTTCCTGACCAGGTGAGCAACCTAGGCAAGCACGGGGGACTTTCTCCCTTTTGCCTGGTAACAAGGAATGTGGGTGAGGCTCATATACATGTTCTTCCTCCAAGGCACAGTGGTGCCAAGGCCAGGGTGGACTGAAACCACAGCAGTCCATAAGCAAGGCTAACCTCCTGGTCAGCTCCTTCGTATACAGGGCTCATTTTCCCATTGGAGACATAGGAAGTTGGCCACTGTATGCCTGAAAATTTGAGCCCCCATCCCATAATATAGTCCAGAGGAGATCAGGAAGCCACAGTTCCCACCCTTCCCCTGCAGAGCATGGCTCTTGGTCAGGCTAGAAATGGAGGACTTGGGTAAGTGACTGATGGAAGGCAGGCTTCCTGCAAAAATATGTGAGAAGCGAAGAGCTTGACTCAAGCCTAGCCCAACCTGCCCTCCCAGAGGCTCTTGAAGGGCTTGAAGGACACCAGGAGTTGTCCTAGCTGGAGCTGAGGGGGATGATCTATGCCCATGGCACTGCCAGGCCTGCCACTCCTGGAGACCAAGACAGCTCTCTGACAATCTGGATGGACTTCAGCTACATCTACCACAGCAGCGGACACTGTGAGCAGGCTCAGCCTTTAACCCTTGGGAGCACACAGAGCTCAGAGCTTAGACCTGTCTCCATGTATACCTCTTGTGATAGAGCCCTCAAGACGCTTAGGGCCAGTAGAGAAGTGGGAACAGGCTTCCTGGAAAAAGGGACCAAGCTGTGGAGCCACCAGAAGAGAATTTCATGGCAGGGAAAGCCAACACCTCAGAGTAGAAGGCAGCTGGCAGAGTAAGAGTCTCCATCTATGGCCTGGCCAGGCCCCAGGCTATCATGACTCCCAGCAGATCCACATTGCTCAACCTCTCTTGACTTTAGCTTGCAGCTACTAGAGCTCTGCTGGCCTCCAGACTGTTTGACAGATGGTGAACATCCACACCGCTACCATGCAGTAGACACTGGCTCCCATTTCTCTCAGTTTAGAGCTCTCCTGGATCCTTCCCAGCTGTTCTAGGAGACCATGACCATCTCTTTCTTCAGGTGGTCATCAAGACACAGACTGAATACCAGCTGTCCTCCCCAGACCAGTCAAAGAAGTTCCCAGACCTGGAGGGGCAGAAGCTGAACTGCAATCACCCAGAGGAAGGGCGAAGGGTAACTATACATACCCATCCCTGTGGGGAGTCAGGGCCGGGGGAGAAGGTGCAGGGGCAGCACAGGCTCAGGCCAGGTTGAGTCCTACTTGAGTCTCCTCAGAAAGGAAAGCTGGGCAGGGATCATCTCATTCCAAGACCACCCTTCCAGCTCTGGTGATCTTCAGCTGCCTGCCCTGTGCAGCCATCCTCCTACAGAGTTCTGAGCTCCCATGCCCATCATGCCATTCTTTTCCTAGTAAGTACTTGTTCCCCTAGGAAGTCACTGTCTTTTCTTTATTAACTTGCAGGCTAAATAATGCAGGTATTGCTTTTTCTGTAGCATAGCTGTCAGATATCTACTCTCATCTTTTAATATCTTACATTTACTAGTAATGGATTTAGTCATTTTAGTGGACTATTTCCTAAGGCTTTTCACTTTTCAGAAGTGGTATCTATGCCTTTTCCATTAAGCCCTTTGTTTCTTCAATGGAAATGCCCCCAGACAAACACTGAGGCCTTGCTGCACTTCTCATGAATCCATCCAGGCTGATACTGGTGAATGCTCCTTACTGAGAGCCCTTGAGATGGCTTTTAGCATCCAGGACCTTGTTCCATGCTGGCCATCATCCTTTGCAGGTATCATCTGGGCAGGACAAATCCCCACAAGAACCTGGTGGGTTAAAGACCATGTGTACTTTTCCTGGTAGCAGGTAGCAGGTGCTTCTGGAATCCCAGCAGAGGGGCCCTGGCAAAGCTTGTATCCTGTGGAGTGGTTTCTGGACCCTTGGCTCTGGGGCTGACCTCTAAGAAACCACCAAGTCTTGGGGATTCTGGTCCCAGCCCTAAGGGGCTTCCCCCAGGAAGGTAACCCTGACTTTGACTGCCTGGCACCAACAACTGAGTACCTGTCTCCCTCCCTCAGCTGCCCACAGCCAGGATGATTGCCTTCGCCATGGCGCTCATGGGCTGTGTACTCATCATGTACAAGGCCATCTGGTATGACCAGTTCACCTGCCCCGATGGCTTCCTGCTTCGGGTAAGGCAATAGGGCCAGTGGCCCTGGCAGGGGACAGTAGAGACCACCCTGATTCTCCCACAACCTCCAGACAGTCTTCCCAGATGGTACCAGACAGGCTCTTGCTGGTAACCTCTCTCCTTCACAAAGAACCACTTGGCCTTTTGGCTCCAAATGGAGCCTCTGGTTCTGTCCTCAGGCCTGGCCTTTATCAGCTGGAAATTAAGCCCCTTCGGCCCTGCCAACCTGCTGATGCAACCCCACTTCCACAGCACAAGATCTGCACACCACTGACCCTGGAGATGTATTACACGGAGATGGACCCGGAACGTCACCGCAGCATCCTGGCGGCCATCGGGGCCTACCCCCTGAGCCGCAAGCATGGCACCGAGATGCCCGCAGTTTGGGGGGACAGCTACCGTGCCACCAAGGAAGCACACAAGGGGCCCACCCAGGCTGGGGCTGCTGCTGTGGTGGCCACAGAGCAGCCCAGGAAGCCCACTGAGAAGGCCGACAAGGAAGAGGTGCAGAAAGTGACAGCCAGCGCGCCACCACTGGCCCCTCAGTGACCACAGTGAGCCCTGCCCACCCAACCAGGGTACGTGTGTCCAACACTGAGGCCTCTCTGGGCCTCCCTGCTGCCTTTTCTGAGCCAGGGGTCCTCTCCTTGCCATTTCCTACCCGGGACTTCGAGTCTAAAACATTACGCAGGTGCTTGTCCTCCAACACTGCCACCCCACCTCGAGCACTTATGAGGATGCAGGGGCGGGTGAGTCCTGGTCAGGAGAGGGGAGGAGCGGCGCCTGGGTCTGGGTCTCAGGGACCTAGCGGGGTTGGGGTGGAAGACTCAGGGACAGAAAGCGTGGGTAGGACTGGGGGAAGTGGAGGGCTCCTCTTCCCACCCAGGTTAAGGGGTGGGGGTGGCAGGGGACAATTCTTAGACACCAGGACCTGCCCAGGCAACTATCAGCCTCTACCCCTCTGTCTTGCAGCGTCCCGTGCCAGCTCCTGTGACTATCGAGCGAGTCACCTGATGCTCTCCTACCTTGTGTTTGTGCCCCTCCCCCAGACACCTCACTGAAGCCCCCGCTGCTGGTGAGCTTCTAGCTTTGTTGCTTTTCTGTAAGTAAAAACTCAAGTCTACCTGGATGTTCCTTTCTCCTGTGCATCCTCATCCTCTTCAGCTGGCCTGTTTTTCTGCCTATAGGCAGGCCCAGGGGGATCCTTGAAGGATCTGGCCCCTGCAGCATGGGAGCAGGGATCTGCATGGACAAGGAGGTGCCCGGGCTCCTGTGCAACTGGGCCTGAGGACCAGTTCCTTATAGGGCCTTGTTGTGGTCCAGTTGCCCTGGCAGCCACAGTGGAAGGAGCTTATATCCACCCAAGGGAACCCCAGGGTCCTGACTTGTCCCTGACCACTAGCCAGCTTTACATTTTGCTGTATTCCACACCATCTGCCTGGTGGTGAGCTTGGTCCCCATGGCACTCCCATTCCACAAGAGCATCAGGCTCCTATTTTGGGCTCCTGGTTCTGGGCAGCACCCACTCTCAGTTCCTGCTTCCAGACAAGCCACTCACAGGCATGAATGACCTAATGAAGAAATGAGTGAGTGCTGTGCCTGAGAGGGGAGTGGAGCCTTGGGGCAGCTAACTAGCACCTCCTGCAAGCTGGAAGGACCCCACCTCACTCCCCACCCTTCCCAGCACCAAGGTCTGGGTTTCTGGAGCTAGACGGGGTGGACCATCTACATCCGCTCCAGGGGAGCTGCCAGAACACCTTACCCCAACCGTGGCACTGTTGTCATCCAGCCTCCAGCTCTGGGTGACTCCAGTTCTGTCCCCAACCTGGGTGTGCTGGGCCCATGCTCCTCGCCCACTGTATCACTGCAGCTCCTACTCTGATCCTTTCCTTCCTATGTCTAGACACCTGCCTAGTGGGAGGTAAGCTCCAGCATGGGGAGTTAGGGCCATGACAGATCCTGGGTTGCTCAGGGGCCAGAGGAAACAGCTCTGAGCAGGAGGGGCCAGTGCTACTTGGGTGTGCTGCCTGGAGTGGGAGGGGTGCTGAGCTTCAAGGGCTGGGACTCCACACCTTGTCCAAATCCCTGGGAGAATTCCCTCTATACCAGGTGCAACTGGACAACTTAGATGGAAGCCCAGGACCATCTCAACGGTGTTGGGAACCATCCAGTACCTGGGTTTTGGGTGTGCACTTTCCTTCTAGGCACTCAATGGATACAGTTGGGGAAATGTGCATGTGTGCATGCACACACACACACACTGTGTCTTCTCATTTCTGTGTGCACACACAGGCACACATGTGTAAAATCTCCATGTGTTCAGTGACACTTCCCATCCAAAGCAGAACCTCAGGATTTGTTTCATTCTTCTCTTCCCATAGTTAGAACTCCCTTCTCCAACAGGGAGGAGCCAGTTGCTGCTATCCTTCCTATATTAATTTGCTCAATCCCAGAATACATTGGAATTAGTAACCCAAATCACAATTAAAAAAACAAGCCAGCACACTAGACTTAGGTATTTGCATAGAGTTTTTTTTTAAAGTGTTTAATCTAAGGGTACACAGTCTAAGTACAAGCTCAGAGGTCATCTGGGTTAGTTCTTTTTTCCACATTAGTGTGGTTATATTACTCATTTGACATGTAGTAAGAGGTTTATTACTGTTTGAACTCCATTTTAGGCCCCTCCCTGTTTTGTTGATTTTTATCCTGTATTTTGACATGATTCCAAAAGATGAAACTATACAAAATGTTTTCTCAGAAAAGACATCCCCTCCCACCCCATCCCCACCCACTGAAGGAAATCAGTCTTACTAGTTTCTTTCTTTTTTTTTTTTGGTACCAAGGATCGAACTCCGGACCTTCGGCTTATGAGGCAGGCAAAGGAACCAATGAGCTAAATCCCCAGTCCAAGTCTTACTAGTTTCTAGTTTGGCTTTCCTTGCCTTTTTGCAAAAATAAACAGATGCACATTTACTTATTTTTTCTCTTCCTTACATTTTCACTGAAGAGCTTTTTCCAACAACAGCCAATTCTCCAACACCAGCTAGAGTCCTGCACTTATCCTTTTCTGACACTGACCGCTGGCTTCAGTTCAGATCCATAGTCAGTGGCTCAGCTCCTCAACACATCCCTTCTTTCTGGACACAAGCCCAGGACCCCCAGCCTCTTGTACTTCTGTCCAACTTGGCTACAAAGTCAGATGCTCTTAGACCTCTTCTCAGGCTTGGTATTCTCTAGAATGAATGACAGAACTAAGGCAGGCACTTTATTTATGTCAAAAGACAAAATTATAACACATTTAACTAAAAATCTTAATTGGCTTTATTTTGATTCCAGAATCAGACAGCATGTCATGCCCCAAAATACAAGTATTCCAGTGGGCTGGGGGGTGGGGGGGGATACATGCTAGCTGGGCATGATGGCACAGGCCTATAATTCAAGCAGCCTGGGAGGCTGTGGCAGGAAGATTGCAAGTTCAAGCCCAGCCTAGGCAATTTACTAACTTAACAAAATTCTGTCTTAAAAAAAAATCAGAGACTTTTCTTCATTCACTTCACGGCTGCAAAGAACTTCATGAGTGGATGACGACAGTTTGCAAGTAATTTGACCACAACTAATTTATGCATGTGTATTTTTTTATTGTTAGAGATTTATCTTCAGGGTAAATTCCTAGCGGTAGTATTTCTGGGTTAAAAATACATTTTATAATCATAAATTTAAAACCAGTTTTTCTCAATCTTGAAAGTTCAACTTAAAATCTTTTTTATAAATCTATTAATCTTTGTGTTAATGTGAAAATACATTTTCACTTATTTTTAATCTTCCATTAGCTTATGCATTTGACATATTAAATCTCTAAGCTTTTTAGACATTTCACAAACATAATAAACCTGGTTAATTAAATTCCTTAGGTATTTCAAACTTTAATCATAAATGGATCCATCTGAGTCTGCTGAGTGCTTCAAACATCTAGTGGCATAGACCTACAAATCTGCCAAGGAAACCTTTACAGGCATTTTTACACCATGTACCAGCTGATACAGCCAAAGTTATATACTCAGTCAGATGATGTTAAATTCTTTCACACTTTAAAAATGAAAGCCACAGGTTTATGAGGTAAAATTTAAAGCATTTCTTATTAAAACAAGTTGAGTATGCTACATTTGCTTAAAAGCTTCACACATTTTAATAGGAAATAACATGAATTTGTGGTCCTAACCCAGACACTATGCAGCAGAAGTAGGGCTTGCTGGTCTTGGGTCCTCTGGTAGCCCAGGCCACCGCTCTCACCATCTCAGGTGAGCAGGTACATGGGGTGGCCTGGCTGGCTGTCAAGGGTGGGTGGGACCAGGGTCTGTCAGTGCTCCCTGTAGCCAACCACCCTCTCGCCCAGTCAGGCCACACCGCTGAGGCATCCGGACCCCACATGGGCTGTACAAGCCAGACAGATCCCAGAATCAGGATCATACACATCCTACGGTGACTTAAAGTCTTTAAAAAAGACTCTCACCAGTCAGACACTCTTGCAATAGAGCTGAGCTGGCTTCCTCCAAAGGTGAGCCAATTTAGGGAGCAGTGTGGCTTGGAGGTGACTGTGATAATGTGCTCCACAAAGCCTGAGGTTCATCCACCTCCATCTACACTGTGTGAACTTTCAATGGCCACAAGGCACTTGTATGGCTACCTTTTAGGACCCCGCAGTATGATCTCTCAGTGTGACCCTGTCATGTGCAGCTTTAGGAAGATGGGTAATCAAGGACTGGGATACTTTCTTCTCCCAGGAGCTGTGATGCAGCACCTTCATTAGGGTAGAGACCCTTTTAGGGGCACTGGAAAGGGGTAGCTGTTACTGGGGTATCCAGGGGAGCTTCTTCAATAGCTGAATGGACTTTCCTCAGAACCTGCTGCCAGGACCATATACTGGGCCCACTGGACTCCTACCTCAGCCAGAAAGGTGGTTCTGTTGCTCACCAGCAGTTGAGGCTCAGGAATCAGGGACAGGGAGACCTGGCCAGCTGTGCTTTAGGGCTGTGAAGTCTTTGGGTCCTGATTCAGAAACTGTTTCTTTGTCTGTATGCTGGTGTCTATGAGGGCACTAGACCTGAGATTTGCCAGTGATGGGTAAGTGGCTCTAGAACAAGGCTCCTGGCCCCCTGATGGCATCTGAGCTCCCCTGTATTGAAGTTCTTACCTCAGTCCTAGTCAGCTGCTCAGGGCTTCTCACTCAGGAGGCTGGGGTTGCCTGCAGCCCCACCCAACCCTGTAGGATGGCTCTGACCAAGTTCCAAAGGTCACCCCACCTGCTGTGGGACTGAGGCCCAATGTGTGGATATTCTGGGCATGTACAAGACTGCCCCTTGCAGGCCTCAGAGGGGAATGTGGTGACAGAGCCTTTGACCTATCCCCCACCACCCATTGAAAGGCTCAGCTGAACCATGGGTGCCTGAGGAGTCCTGGAGGGTCCTATAAGGCTCTGGGGCCTGCCTAGTGGGTCCAGGTCGCCTCTGTCAGATCCAGACCCATAGTTTTTTTTTGGAGGGGGAGGTTGTGCCCCAACAATGCAATAGCCTGATCCCAAGGAGACATCTCCTGTCTCAGGAAAAACTCACTGGGAGAAGGGATGGGCTGCTACATAGTCCTTGGTACCTCCCCTTGCAGATGCCCTGTAGGGTAGCATGTTGTGACTGGCAGCCAGGATTTGGCTGAACAAGGGCACCTGTGACAAACAACCTGTCAAGGCATCTTCACCACCTTCTTCTCAGGGTCCATCAATCCAGTCTGCCCTGGACAGGCAGGAAAAGAAGCTTCCCAGGTGTCCGCAAGGGTGGGGACCTCAGAGCTGGAGGCTGCAGAAATCCCCATGCTTCCTTCCTCATCTGCCCACCCCACCTGCTCAGGGGTGAAATACCCAGGTGTTTGAGGATGCTGTGAGAGCCATCTACTGGATTCAGAGGGGCTACCCAAGCCAGACAGTGAACCCTTCTGGGGAGGATGAGGGGACCTGGAACTGTAATGGGGCATGCAGAGGACAGGACCCTGGGATTTTAGTGACCTGCCTCAGCCACCCTTGGGTTCAGGGTGCTTAGAGATGGTTCGGGGAACTGGTGTTTTAGCTACAGGACTGAGCCA